GGAAATCGAACCCCTCCGCCTCGCGCCCCCCTCCTCTTTTTTTCTTTTGTTACCAATAGCTTAGGAGCTGTTTCTGTGTGCAGTAGAGAGGGGAGGAAAGGTTGGGGCCCCGGGAGGGGCTCTCCAGAAATAATTCAGGCCTTCTATATGGAATATCCAGTCCTCCCAGGAAGGGGCACATAATTGCTAGATTGTCATATTGCATTTAAAAGAAGAAAGAAAGAAATCACATGGGTAATTCAGGAGTCACATGAGCCTTGCCCTCACAGAATCCATGTGGATTTCATTCCAGCCTGTTTCTTTTTATTTACACCTTTTCCATTTCAAAAATGGAATTGGCATCTTTCTGGTCTATTGGGCTGACTCCCTCACTCTGTAGTTATTGGCCGGCTGCTTCAGACTGGTGAGTTTTATTGTCCCAACAGGGTATGGGGGTGAGCAGAGCACCCCTTTGGTTCGGGTTTTTAATATACACTGATATAATTATAGCCTTGGGCAGGAATATAGGAACCAATCATCTTTTGAAATACCCCTTCTCAGAATTTTTGCAGTGTGATGATTTTTCAAAAAGCACAAAAGATGTATTTATACTAGGAAAACTGTATGGGAGTCAACAGCATGGAACTCATTGACTGAATATGAACAAAATTACACTGCCAGGGGAGGGTTAATTACATTCCCCATTTTTCTCAATTCCGTTTATCCTAACCTCCCCCTCCCTGGGATTCTGTGATGACAGCCCTACCCCATTTCTTCTTGCGGGAAGGAGCCCACAGATATGTGGGTTGCTTGTTAATGTTCTAGACGCAGTGGCTTCCTGACCCTGGTTCTCCAGATGTCCTTGGACGGCCACTCCCAGAAATCCTGGCCAGCCCAGCTTGTGGTGAAGGCTTCTGGGGGTTGCAGTCCGAGAACGTCTGGGGGACCCAAGGCTGGGAACCCACTGGTCTAGGCCACACTTTCTGGCTTGACCTGGTGTCTGTCTTTGTTCCCGAGCATCTATGTGTGAATGAGATCGGCTCCGTTTCTTTTCTGTGCATCTCTTCTGTCGGCTTTCTTTCAACTTGCTTCCTAAGTACGATCCATGGAGGGCTTTTTTTTTGGTCTGCCAGTGTGTGACCTCGAAGTGCGGGATCCCGTTCCCTTTTTGTTCTAAAGCCTGTGACTTAACGCTGGAGCAAGGGTTCCCCTTTGATACCTCAGCCGGACCGTGCCCGTTGGGGGTCGGCCAACGGGAAGGAAGGAAGGAAGGACATGGACCACAGCGATAGGCGAGGATCCTGGCTGGTGGGCAGAGAAGCCGCAAGGCTCCGAGGCAGCCCCGCTGACGGCCCGCTCCTCCCGTGAGTTCCAGAGCCCGGGGTTAGAGCGCTTTTGGCCCATCGTATGTTTTGGACCTATGCTTGGCGAACCATAAGGGGCTGTAGGAACCGTCACCTGAAACAAGGGAAGGGCCTGGTCTTCCTGAAAGTGGAGTGGATGAGAAAAGGACGGCTCTCTTTCTCCAGAGGATTGTTCTGTCTTGATGTGTTCTTCCAGCTGTCTGCTTTTTGCTTCTCTCTTTCCCCTCCCACGTCCGTCTGTCTTCTTTCCCCTTCAGGACTACGAGAGTAAGCTCCAGGCCTTGCAGAAGCAGGTGGAGACCCGGTCGCTGGCGGCCGAGACCACCGAGGAGGAGGAGGAGGAAGAAGAAGAGGAGGAGGGTGAGTTCCCCACGCCTTTCTGGGCTGGTGTCAGCGCGGCGACCGGAGAGGACCCCCGGAGTGTGTGCCGCTCTTGAGATTCTTGTGGCTGCTTTACAGAAACGTATTTGAAGGACCTGCCCCTCCCCCCCCCTTTACGCAGCCCAAGAGAGCCGTACTTTGCCAGCATCATTGGTTCATTTCATCCAAAGTACATTTTAGGTGCATCTGCCTTCCATGGTTACGATGGACACTGCTTTAGCCGTTCTGCCTTTGCTGAGCAGAATTCTGGGGTCTGAGGTTCTGTGAAGGACTTTGAAAGGTACTTCCATTTAAAAGGCATGGATTAATTTGTGCCGCACTGTACGTGGGTGCGTAACACAAGAAAACACTGATAAACGTGCACGTCCGCATACGCGGTGTGTGTGTGTTAGAAATATTTCCAAACCATGATTTATGTCATGGGTGTAAAAACCAGATACAGAATGAGACTCCTCGGTTTTTACGTGCTGGGACCAGAAGGGGAGCCTTTGACCCTGTAGAGGAAAGACTGTTAAGTGTTACCACCCGCCATCTTTCTTTGGGGAGCCCCTTCCAGAAAGGACGCTTGCTTTGTGCCTCTGTAATCGTGCCCTCGTGCAGGAGGGTGGCCCCAGCACCCCCAGTGAGCCCACGCCCTTTCTGTTCCCTCCCGCAGTGCCCTGGACGCAGCGCGAGTACGACCTGGCCCAGTGGGCTTTCCGGAAATGGAAGTTCCACCAGTTCACTTCCTTAAGGGATCAGCTGTGGGGCAACGCCGTCTACCTGAAAGAAGGCAACGCCATCAGCGTGGAGCTGAAAAAGAAGGTAGGGAGGGTCCGGAGAGCTCACTCCCCGCACACTGGTGTCCCGAGTCCTGGAGGGAGCATGGATTGTGCTCAGGCACGCGGGATTTGAGGTGGAAGGGGATCTCTTTCTGGCTTTGGAAACAGCAACAGAGATTCTCCTGGCCCTTTAAGGACTCGTGATGGATGACTGTAGACTAACCTCACTGGATGAATGGAACCTTACCCATAAAAATGTTTAACTCCATGCTCACACATTCAGGTCTTTTGGCCTTCTAATCTCTCGGCTTGCCTGTCCGGCAACCTCCCTCCATGGAGAGAAAGAGGAAGCAAACGTTTGAACCCAGGAGCAGGCAGTTCATCGTTTCCAGCGTATATTTAGTGGGAGAAAAATTGAAACATTGTGGGAGGATGTTTTGGTTTCTGCCTTCTGCAGAAGCCAAAATGTCTTGCACTGATATTTCAAGTTTCTGTTTGTTTATCCCCATACAAACCCTTTCCCTCCTTCCCTCTCTCCATGTTGGGAAACATTGGAAGGTCTCGGTGTATAGAGTTGGCTCAACCGGGTCTCTGATCTGTTGGGGAATATCAATAGACAAAGCATAGACATGAGGGCAACCAACTCCTTGGTTGGTTTGGTCAACCCGGACTCACCGTTTCCTACCTCCGCTTTCTCTCCCTCCAGGTCCAATTCCAGTTTGTCTTGCTGACTGACACACTTTACTCCCCGCTGCCTCCGGAACTCCTGCCCCCAGAAATGGAGAAGACCCCAGAGGAGTGCAGACCTTTCCCTCGGACGGTGGTGGCCGTGGAAGTCCAGGATCTGAAGAACGGCGCAACTCATTATTGGTCCCTGGAAAAGCTCAAGTATGTTGTTGAGAGCACAGGCTAGAATCCCCTGCCTGTTGTCAAGATCCTGTCTGGGAAATAAGTTCATTTTCAGAGTGCCGGGCCCCCTGTCTTTTTCCACCTTTCCATCTTGAGAGGATGCAACGGAAGAAGAAATCACTTTGGGTCCTTTTTCCACACCATGACAGCTGTCCCTCAACTCAGTGTGTGGCCATCCATGATGGCTGCATGGGAGGGGGGGGGTTGCAGGCTAGGTTTCTCTGGAAGAGGACCGAGAAAGTGCAAGGAGAGGGTCGACTCGGGCTTCAACTCTGGGGCTCACAAAAGTTTCACATACATCTAAAGCTCAGGATCGTCGTAACAATCGGGAGTTGGTGGGGACCCTTTCTGATCTCCAGCAAGTCACCAAAAGATCTATCAATAGATCTTGTGCCCACAGAGGTGGGAAACGTTGGCCCTTCAGATGATTTCTGGACTGACAGAAGTCCGAGCCAGCATGGCCGGTCGTAAGAGATTATGGGAGCGGTCCTTCAAATAGGGGGTGAGCCCTGGGTTTCCTAACTCTGTTGGGCAATGGAAAGAAAATTAATATTTGGAGGAGTATTGATTTGTTCTATTTATTTATATCTTCGATTTGTATATTAGTGCAACATACTATTCTGGGCGGTTTACAACAAATCATAAATAACTGCAGCAAAGAAATAAAAATAAAACCAATCAACAGATACCACTCGATGCAACCAGAAGCGTACCCGATTTGAGAAAGCGGTTTCAACTTATTTCACTCGGTCTGGTTGAGCGCTGATTTCTTGGCAACTCTTTTTTAAAAAAATTGCATCACAGGCAGAGGCTGGAGCTGATGCGGGAGATGTACGACCGGGCGGGAGAAATGGCCTCGAACACACAGGAGGAGGGGGAGAGCACCATGACCGGGAGCGACCCTTTTTACGACCGTTTCCATTGGTTCAAGCTGGTTGGCAGGTAGGTGACCCACAGGCTCTGGTTGGTCAACGAAGGTCAGCTTTGCAAGAGCACAGTTTTTGAGGGCCGGGAAAGGGTTTTATACGTACTAGTTGGAACAAACTCAAGACTTTCCAAAACTGAAGCTTCAGCGTCCAGATCGGCGTCATTCAGAGCGCCGCCTACGACCAGATTGGGCCAGATTCCAGGGGGTAACTTTTCTTTCTGCGCTGTCGTTCTTCTGTCCTGTTAATGTGGCGTTCGCTTGCAGGGTGCTTCCAGATGTGACTTCTGTTATGAAACAGCCCTGCTTCATTCATGAATTTTTATGTGTGGGTTCCAAACCCCATTGTTGCCTTCCATTTGTAATCCATCCACACCTTCTGGGTGTTTTTTTCTTTTTCTGTCCCTCCCCACTTACCACAGGGCATCTGTTTGGGAGACAAAGCTAGATTTAGCCATGTCGTGCCTTGTGGCTGTTTGTGGCCTCTGTCTGGAAGCACCCTCCCCCTAAGACGTCAAAATAGGTGTAGGATTTTTGTGGGTCTGTTTGAAAAGGAGCCCCACCTGGATTTGCTCAGTGGGCCATTGATGCTTTGCTAAGTATATGGATTCCCAGTGTGGTGTAGTGGGTAGAGGGACATTACCTGGAGAACATGGTTCGAATCCCTACTCGGCCACGGAAGCTCACTGGGGGAGTGGAGCCGGTAAAGCCGCTCCTTAAATACCTCCCTTACCTTGAATGCCCTGTTCAGGTTGTGATAAGTCGGTCCTGGCGTGACAGCTCGGGACACACAAACATGTAAGCCGACGTAATCTGTGCCCCTCTCAAAAGTTCGGCGTTTGAGCCACCCTTTTCTTCACTAGAGGCCAGCATTTCAGCATTTAGTGCCCATCTTCCCTCTCCTGAGTTTGATTTCTACATGAAAACGGAGTGAAGCAGGTGAAGTTCCCGTTGAGGAAATGCTCCGGGGTGGAGGGATTCTGGCAGATGGAAACCCCCCACGTTCTGCCCCTCTGCGGCTCCTGCCCGTCGGGGATCTCGACGTTCAGCCTTTTGCTCCATTGACCGCAAGCCATTCCTGTGCCTGGGCCCAAATGGTTTTGCGTGTCTTTTGTCTGTCTGTGTGTCTTTGTTTTCTTTTTGCTTAGTCGCTCTTTCAGTGTCGCCGCTGCATGCCTTCGACATGCGCCGGAAGGGAAAAAAAAGAAGAAAGGATGGCTAGTGATTTCGCAGACGGTCCAATCCTTTACTTCGTCTTCCTAAATTGCTCATTGTGCAGGAGAGGTGTAGAGTATGCCACTTCAGATAGCAGCTGGGAGGATAAATATAAATGATGGCATATCATCAACAAGGTGCTCAAGAAGAGGTGTTTCACCTAGAAATATAGCCTTGGAAGGGATCATCTCAAGCACCATCGGGCCTTAAGCCCTTAGCAGTGTGGGAATACAGAGCTAAAGCATCTTTCCTCGATGGCCCCCCAACCTCTCTGTGGAAACCCTCCGTGAAGGGGAGCGAGTCCTCCCAGGTAGTTCCTCTGGTTGTCCAGCCATTCCTCCTGCCAGAAAGTTCTTTCTCACGTTTAGCTGGAATCTCCTTTCTTCTTCTTCTTTTCCTCGTGGTTTTCTCTCTGTCACAGTATAAACAGGGAACTTTTGATGAGATGGTGGTAGTGTGGAGAGGAAGCATTCTAACTTGCCTTGACCTCCCGTCCACGCCATGGGTCCAGTCCCGAATTCTCCTACTTTGGCCGGCCTTTTGCATTTTGCAGAAAGCGCCCGGGGTTCTCGCCCGAAGGCAGAAACCTGGAAGCGCTGGGAATCGTAACTTTGTGTCACGAGCATAGCGCAAGGTTCCAGAAATAGCCGTGTGCGTCAGTGCACTTCCTTACGGATTATGTTGGGTTCCTTCTGAAGTCCTTCCCCTTTCAACTTGATTCCCCCCCTCCCCGGTGTCTCCTCCTCACCTCCCCTTCTTTGCTTGCACATTGATGCTCGCGGGCTGTGAGCTGGGTCTCGGGCGACAGACTGCCTTTGTTGAATGAAGCTATTCCTGTCTTTCTCTCTCCTCCCTCGCCACGCTAATCAAAAAGTGTTCCGTTAACCGATATATCTAGCTCCCCCATTTTCCACGGCTGCGTCAACGAGCGCCTGGCAGACCGCACGCCCTCCCCCACTTTCTCCACGGCCGACTCCGACCTCACCGAGCTGGCCGACGAGCAGCAGGACCAGATGGAGGACTTTGACGACGAGGCCTATGTGGACGATACCGGCTCCGACGTGGGGACCGAGGAGGGATCGGACCTCTTCAATGATGGCCATGACCCGTTTTACGACCGGTCCCCTTGGTTCATTTTAGTGGGAAGGTTGGTGAGGTTCACTCTTGAGAAAAGCCAACGGTGGGGCGCTCTCGCCCTCCTGGGCTCTTGACTCCCGGGGCTGATCCTCACAAGGAATCGGCTAGAAACCTTTGTGTGCACAAACACCTGAGATGTGTCTGGACGACAGCTCGCTTTAGTCTCCCCCCCACCTCCAGGATGGCCAGTGGTAGGGCGTTGGGGGGACTGTTATCCCAGACAGCTGGATGGCCACGTGGGTTGCCTGATCTCTGCCCACATTCCCCCTCAACGCATAGCTTGCCGGTATCTTTTCCCCTTCAAAACCTCTGTAACTAGATCTAGAAACTCAGACTTGAGTTTCTACATTCTATAGCCAAAGCTTAGTTGGTACGTGCTGTTGTTTCATAAATCCACCCAGACCACCGTTTCTGATTCTGGCTTTTGTTGCACTATCAGCAGCCGTGGTTTGTCAGTTCTGAGATCACATTAACCCTGAACTGGGATCCTGTCTGTAATGGAACCACGGCGCCTTTTCTGGCCGTGAGATTAGCAAGGCAGAGAGAACAGCAAAATCCATGGAACGCCATTATGCCGGCAGGTTTTGGATTGCAGATTAGGCACCGTTTCCTGCTGCCGTTTCCAGCAGAGCCCAGCGGAGGTTTCCTGGGACGTCCGTCTCAGGTGCCCCAGTATTCCCCGGAGCCTTGTTGGCAATGTCCACTTGGCGTGGTGGCTCGCCGGGAACCCTGCAGGTCACACCATTCTCCGTGGCTCCTTTGGCTGCCAAGCAGAGATACTTGAAGCCATGGGAAGGCGGCCCGGAGCGAAAGAGCGAGTCCCTGTGTCCAGTCCCTTTTCCCTTGTCACGTCGCCCGTCGGTTTTTCTGCTCATCCCAAGCAGGAGGGTAAATGTTGCATTTAATCTAAAGAAAACAGAACATCGCCACAACCATTTCCTTGAGTTCTGTTTGTCACCCCCGAAATTTACGTTTGATTTCGTTTGTAGTTTGGTTTTTGTATGCATCTGCCTCTCACCCATCTTTCTGCTCATGTAGCTCCCCTCCCGCCACCCTTTTTCAGTCTGCGGCTGTGTCGTGTTAAGGAAAGCGAGCTTTGCCTGTCTTTCTCTGAGTTTAGCTGGCAAACAGAAGGAACAGCCCCCGCTCTGTGCCTAAATGATCTGTGGAATTCAGTGCTGCAGGATGTGGAGATAAGCCACAACAGTAAGCCACAGCTAGGGAACCAGTGCCCTTTGCATGTGATTGGCTTGTCTCAAACCCCCCCCCTACCTTTGATTGCCTAGGGCAGCAGTTCCCAACTGTGGGTCCCCAGATGTTCTTGGACTACATCTCCCAGAAATCCTTGCCAGCTCAGCTCGTGGTGAGGAATTCTGGGAGTTTTACTCCAAGAACACCTGGGCGGATGGGCGTTTGCTTCCGACAGCCTCTGGTGGGGATCTTTGTACCTTTGATGGTTCTGAAAATGCTGTAGGCAAATTCACGGAGGTCAGCTTGTGCTCGCGACTATTGAGGATTGTAACTATGCGGAACATCCAGGGGTCATCTATCTCGGGTAGAAAGAGTTCTTGCCATTTGCAGGACCGGCCCAGAGATGTGGTAAAAGTATAAGGAATAAAGGACTTTTGCAGTTTATTCCCCTCTCTGTTCTTGCTCCAGGGACCCACAGCTCTTTTCAGGAACAATCTCAGTGGCTGAAGGGCGGATTGAAAGAGAGCCTTAGGGGAGCGGTTCACTGGTTTGTGTGCCAGAAGCTGCTGTGTTGTATTTATCCTGTCTCTTGGGGATCAGGGAGCACCAGCTTAGGCCTCCTTGAATTTGCAAGGCCTGGGATGAATGGAGACACCTTCTCCCAACCCGGTGTGTGTGTGTGTGTGTGTGTGTGTGTATGACGGCATGCAAGGATGCCTTTTTGAAGTTAGCCCAGGCTGGAGCCCTCGGGAAGGCAGAATCTTGGTTTTATTGTGGTCCCCGGAGAGCGCCGATCCCATCCCTGGGCCGGGGTCAGGATTCCTGACAGGTGACACGAACGGCACCCCTTACCCACGGGCACGAGCTACCTGCTGGCCTCTTTTTCCGCAAAGCGCTCGAGAGAACCCCCGTCCCGTCCGTTTTGCAATGGAAGAAGAAAGCGCAATCCTTCCGCTTCCTCGCTGGTCTTGAGGGGCTTGAGAAACCCCTGTCGGCGAGCGGTGGAGAGTTTCCCCGTCGGGGGGGGGGTTGGATTGAAAAAGGCGAGGGGAAGGTGTCGCTTTCCGCCACTTCCACGCGTCTTCGAAACATTTTCCTCCTCGGGTGGATTTTATCCTAAGATTGGCTTGAATTTGCTTCTGGCGGCAGCCTGCCCCGTGGAAGTGGAACGAACTCCTCGCTTTATACCAGAGGCTTCATTTCATAGAAAGGGTGCCATTAAAAAAGCACAGCCAGACGGATAGACACACCAGTCTTTCCTCACGGCACTTTGTTTTCCTTCCTGGCACAATAGGTGTTTGTGTCATAGCCGAGCAGACTGAAAAAAGGAACTAGAATTTTTTTTTATTTCTCCAAGTGCTGAGTTGCAGCTGTTTCTGCTCATATTTGCATTTTCATTTCTGTTGCTAGTGCTTTATTAATCTTATTTCTTTTGTACTTCCATTTGTCTACATTTTTTGTTATAGAATTATGTATATTTTAATCACGTGACCATACATTTTTACATTACTCACCTCCTCTTCATTTCAGGAAACTTCCATCTGTTAGGGTGAGGGGGTTGGAATAAGGTTAATGCAGCCTTGGCAATCACTCTCAGCAAGTTACTAGTCCACAGTTTACTTGCTGAAAAAATAATAATATTGCACCTGTTGTTTCCCTGGGGCTTCAAAACCATGAAACCGATGACCTTTCAAATATTGTCGGATGATATTTGGGGATGAGTTTGGATGTGGAGAGAAGGGGGGGAAGTAAATCAAACCCTAATTCCCCTTTAAAAGGGCTGTTCTCTCTTCAGAGGACATGGCGGAGAGAAGTTAAATCCCTTTGCTTGCAAAGATCAGCACAAGGTGCGTAGATGGTTAGTGATGATTTCAAGAGCCCTCTGATAAACCAACATCATGTAGTTTAACTCACTGCTGGCAAGCCCTCGGCTGTTTTTCATGTAGTTTAACTCACTGCTGGCAAGCCCCTGGCTGTGGTTTTATGCATTTCCAGAAATCTGATCATGTGAAATGTGCAGGCCCGTGCTGAGAGTTTAATGCTGTGCCGGAGCTCCGAGCTAAAAACAGATAAAACTATAATTATGTCTGTTTAGGTTGTCAAATGCGGATCTTGCTTTGTAAGTGAGAATGCAGTGGGTTTATACTTGTTTATAATCCCTCCTCCTCTCCTTCCCTTCCTCCCTCAGGGCCTTTGTATACCTGAGTAATCTCCTTTACCCAGTGCCACTCATTCACCGAGTGGCCGTGGTCAGCGAGAAGGGGGAAGTGCGTGGATTTCTCCGCGTGGCTGTCCAGGCTATAGCCGGTAAGTGTCCCGCGCTCACTTTGGCCCCGGCCAGCTCTTTGGGCCGACCGCTCCCATCAGCCCCCCCCCCCCCGGCCAGCCCAAGGAGGACTCGGGGAAAGTGGTGGGAGGAGGGAGGGTGGCCTTGGTAGGATTCAGCCCCCAGGCAGGCTTTGGAATCCGAACCCACTGCGGGGGGGGGGAGAACTTGGCCGGTCGCACCCCTGGCCCCGCTGGGGATCCCAGGCCCAGTCGGGTGGGTTGCCGACCGGTGGTGTTAAGAGGCAGGGCCCGGGTTTCCCTCCTCATTCTCTCCAGGGACGCGCCTCGGGGAGGCAGCACAGTAGTCATGGGGTCATAAGTAGTCGTGTTAACGTTTGGGAGGGGTGCGTGTTGCACCCCTCTGCAGAAGCAGGACCCCCATGCTCTGCAACGGCCCAGCTCTCTGGAGGGCTGCCCGATGCCTGGTTAGAAACCACATCCGTTCTGCAACCCATTGCAAAGGAACGCTTGAATGTGACATTTTTCAAAGGCTGGCTGCCGCTACTCTGAGGTCTGATCCAAAGGCTTTCCCTGTTTGTTTGTTTGTTTAGCGGACGAAGAAGCCCCCGATTATGGATCTGGAATCCGGCAGTCTGGCACGGCTAAGATCTCGTTTGATAACGAGTACTTTAACAAGGTAACGTATGCTTCATTGAGCCCCTTATATCAGCACACCTCCGGCCGTTCAGTCGTTTCCTTGAGTCGAAGGAGCAAGGAGAATGGGTTCGACACTTTGCTTTTCCCTCTGTGTGTGCTTTAGAGTAACTTCTCGTCTGTCGCCATGACCCGCTCGGGACTCTCCTTGGAGGAGCTGAGAATTGTGGAAGGACAGGGGCAAAGCTCGGAAGGCATCACCCCTCCGGAAGAAATCAACAGAATGAACGACCTGGGTAAGGAGATCAGAGACCGTCGTTTGAGCGGGTGGACTCAGCGTCACTGGCAGGTCCCTCGTGCTGTGTCTTGGAAGGGTTGACGCTGGTCACCTTTGGGACCCAGAGATAAAGGGGCAACAGGCCTGGACCCAAGTGATGATTCCTACCTGGGGTATTATTCTGAATCCATATCCTATAATGTGTAAAGTGGGACATTTCATGATTTCGATACAAAGAGTTCATTGATTGTTTGATTTTGCAGTATTTTGCTGGTCTACAGCTGGAAGGGTTCCATATGTATGATGCACAGACATACGTTTAAAAAGGCAAGACAATGTCTGCTCTTAACCCTTGCTCTGAAAAACATGCCGTGCAAAAGGAAAAAATGAAGAGGATGAGAAAGTAGGCCACATTCTCAATGGGCTGAGTTGGCTCAGCCTGGCGGAAGAGCTGCCGTAATTGAGTTCTTCCTGAAAGTGAGCCCTTTTGGTGTCTGTCTCAAACTTCTGTGTAATGAGGGAATAATCAGAGTCTCAAAAGACGCCCCTTTGTCAGAGAATTGCCTAGAGCTCTGCTAACGAAAGACTGAATCTCGTAGCCTCTCCTTCTCTACAAGGTGGTCCTGGTGGTGTTGGAAACTAGGGGTGAGGAAATCTAGCTTCCAAGTACACCTGGAGTGGCACCACCGTGGCAGTTCTTGGGGAATCCCAGAAGTGGTTTTGAGCAGCTCCTTAGGAAAGAAGGATCGCATCATCGGGATTTCCTGATCGGCTGCAACCCTCGGAGAAGCATGACATAACCCTCTCTCTCTCTCTCTCTCTCTCTCTCTTTTTTTTTTTTTTTGCACCCCACAGATCTGAAGTCTGGAACCTTGCTGGATGGCAAGATGCCCGCGGAAGGCTTTACCGAAGAGGTTGGCGACCACCTGAAGCTGGGCAGCGTGTTCACTTTCCGCGTGACCGTGCTCCAAGCCAGTGGGATCCTCCCGGAATACGCAGACATCTTCTGCCAGTTCAAGTAAGCTCATGGAATCTAGAAACAAACATCTGGATTGGACTGGATTAGTTATATGGCGAGCCCAATTGCAGGTCACCTTTTTAGCACTTAACCACAGAAACTTCCAGCCGTTGCATAACCCCAGATGTTGCTGGCCGTCAGTCTCTCCAACCCACAACCCCCCCCACAGGCCACAATCAGGAATTCCGGATGCTGTGGGGGTCTAGCATCCTCCGAAGTCGGGAAGGGCTTCCTTCCGGTGGCGTGTTTCAAACTTTCCTGCCTTCCTGTGAGCATTTCCACCTTGAAGGGCCTGTTCAGGAGTTGCTGTATGTCTGCTCATGGAGACTTCTCTGAGGGTTGTGGCCGATCAGGAAGCGTTTTTGAAAGTGAGCAGGTCACGCCGGGCATCAGGCGCGGCTTGTTGGACCTTCTCCCGCTCCAACTGCGAGCGGTCTTTGCTGTCGGCTTCATGCTTCCTGGGCAAGATCAAAACTAGGCAATTAAAACGCTCACTGATCTCTCTAGTCAGACCAATGGAAGAGTATAAATTCAAGGATTCAGATTCTAGTGTCTCTGTTTACAAAGATGGCTTGGGGAGGGGCGACAGGTGGTTGGCAAGAGGATATGCCCAGGATATTGAGAGATGCAGCGAGTCAGATTGGGCAACCCTGGCCCTCATGGAAAGCCTGGTATGAAGCAGCTTCTGATACATTTTAGTAAATCCCATGGTTCGTCAAGATAGAGACTGCAAACCTCTCCTTCTGGGAGGAAATGAATGTATTTTATTTATTTTATTTACCTGTATATCCTACCTTTCACCCCAAGAGGACCCCAGGAGGGTAAGAAACAGAAGGCCCATGGCTGCTCCCATCAGTCCAAATCAGCATCACCAGTAGTAAAGGATTATGGGTGTTGTGGTTTAAAAATAATAATAAAAAGAACAAACCGAGGAGGGGCTGCCGTTGATCTACCTCTGTCCTAAATGGTCTCGGTGCCCATGAGGAGGGAGTTTGTGGAAGGTCAGTCGTGCTGAACGGGACCCTTCTTCTCCTGCTAGCTTTCTGCATCGACACGACGAAGCCTTCTCGACCGAGCCCCTGAAGAACAACGGCCGAGGGACGCCGCTGGGTTTTTATCACGTCCAGAATGTAAGTGGAAGGAGGCCGACGGCTGTTCTTTCCCCATTGAGACGACACGAATTCCGGCTTTATTTGAAAAAAGCTGGGAGGGTTGGTGTTGGAGGGATGGTGGCAGAGACGGTCGCTGAACCGGGCATCCTCGAACCTTTCTCCGTCGGAGAGGGCCAGCTGTCCTCTTGGCTGGTCTTTGGGGGACGCCAGGGGTCAGGCTGAAACCGTGCCTTTGGTCTCCCGCACCAGATTTCTGTGGAAGTGACCGAGTCCTTTGTGGAATACATCAAGTCGAAGCCGATTGTGTTTGAAGTCTTTGGGCACTACCAGCAACACCCCCTCCATCAGCAAGGACAGGACCCCAACAGGTACCCTTTCCCGGCCACGCCAGGTCCGGCGGCTCCCGCCCTCTCCATTGGCTTTTCTAGTTCATAAGTAAGATCTTCAGACCGAGGGAAGGAGGAGCGAGCTTGACACACCGCCGGTGTGGTGTGGGCGAGGGCAGCACAGCCCCATGGGTTCTGAGTCTTCAGTTCTGGTTCTTTACCTTCTGGACCAGGGGTTCCCAACTCCAGATGGTCTATAGATGTTCTTGGACTGCAAACCTTCCCTACCAGCGGTGCTGGCCAGGATTTCTGGGAGTTGTAGTCCGAGAACCCCTGGTTGAGCCAAGGTTGGGAAGCACCGATTCCTAGAGGGAGGTGAGGAGAGAGGAGCGTGACGGCCACAACCACGGTGCTCAAGCAAGCACAGTGTCTTCAGATGGGGCCTGTCTGTAACACCCACGGGTGCTGCCTGATTTTGTGGGATTTATTGTGATGGGGAGACATCCCGCCCCCCCTCAGAAGAGTAACTTGCTGCCTTCTTCCTCCGCAGCCCCCCGCAACCATCCCGACGATACTTCCCTCCTCCCATGCCGCTCTCCAAGCCAGGTGAGGACGGCGCTTCTCTCTTTCCACCCGGTAGTTTCAGTCGAGCCAAGCCAGAGGAGAGCAAATAGGCGGTGCAATGGCTTTTCTGAAACCCTTTCCCTGGCTTCTTAAACAGGAAGTTCCTTCGGCGGTTGCCCGCCCCCCACCCTGGCCCCTCGGCCCTCATGCCTGCCTGCCCAAACACCGGTCCCTTGGGCCTTGGAAGGGATGGGGCGCGGGAGGACACCAACAGAGGGACCGCTTTCCTGGGGAGGGGGGGGTTCCGTCTGTGGGCCTGAAATCAAATCTGGATGGCCATCCGTGGGGCTTCTCTTCACAGCCCCAGGGGAAGGGGTTGGCCGACCCATGGGTCGAGTCGCAGAGCAGAGAAGAAGAGAGTTGGAGGGGAGGCTGCTGCTGACCCCCTCCGAGCGCATCGCTTGGTCCGGGATCTGTGTCCTACCTACGCCTAAACTGCGCTCCAGCATTTTTCAGTAACGCTCGTGACCCCCTTTGGCCTGCTGTAAATGCTCCCTTGGATTTTCTTCGTTTTTGTTTCCAGTGGTGCATGCTGAATTCTTCTGTTACCTTTTCTTTTTCTTCTCTCCTCCTCTGCCCCATCCGATCTATATCCAATCCACACAAACACACACCCCTTTTTAAACGTTCCTTCCTGTTTTGCCATTCCCTGCTTGCCTCCCATCTTTCCCTTTTCCTCTCCCCACTATCTCTCCCCCTCCCCTGGATTTTTCACCTTCCCACTCCCTTTTTCCAGACCATGAGAGAAAAATTGAGTTGATCAGGTATCTCATGTCTGGCTATGTAAACGTGCATGTGCTGAACACGGTCTCTGAGCATGCCAACCTGCTCGCGTCCTCTGCGGTGGCAGCTTTCCAGGACGGGGCCGACCAGCTGCCACCATTTCTCTTTCTACCAATCCCCAGCTGTCAGACCGAGCGGTTCCCCAAACGAGATGGTTAGTAGCCATGTTCCATGTGCCGTAGATCTAGGAACAACCTTTCCTCGCCTTCTCTCCAGACCTCAGATCCCCTGGCCTTTTGCTTCCATCACTTTTCCAGACAAGCGGTCTTAGCCTATTTTGAATAGTCATCCTTTAGCTTTAAGTAGGGCTTGGGAATCTTCAGTTCATTTGTTTCACATTTCATCCTAGCGAAGAAGCTGTGGTGAGCAGCATCAGAACAAAGCGTCTTAACAGGAGTTTCATGTTTCATCCAAACCGTGATTAGTGACGCTGAAACAAACCAAGATATTAAACCATGGTTGGATGTTGCTTTATATTCTCGGCTTTCTTCTGAGGTTACAACAGAAATTTCCTCCGCTAGATGAAATGGGAAGCTCAGGGCGAGGAAACGGATGGCCCTCCAGATGTTGTTGAACTAATTTCCTATCAGTCCCAGCTCATTGGGTTGATGGTGAGGTAGGATGGGAGCCATATTTTATCAACATCTGGAAGGTGTGAGATTTCCCTTCCCTGCTGTAGTTAACCGAGGACTTCCTGCTGTAGTTAACTGAAGACTTCCTCATGTTCTGAGAGAGCAGTGTGGCTTCTAGGAAAGCCCAGGGTCGGGCAATTTCCAGGCCTTTCCAGGGATTTGGGGGATAGGGCCTGCCATACACATTGGTGCATTGTATGTGGGCCTGACTAGGATCCTTAAAAAATCCCTTTTATTTTTCTTTGTGAAATAAAGGTTCTTCTTGCAACTATAGGAATGACCTTTGAAGCATTTGCATGAGTTTAATTTTTTTTTAAAAAAATCAGTAAATGGACCTTTTTTTCTCTCCCCTCCCCCCCTTTTAGTCCCAGCTACCAAGCTTAACACGATGAGTAAGCCTAATTTGGGGCAGAGCGTGACCAAATATGATCTCCTGGTCTGGTTTGAAATCAGTGAGTTGGAGCCCACTGGAGAGTAAGTGTTGGCCTTGTTTACTCCTCCTACGTCCGGCAGATCAGCTAGCTTGAGCCATGCTGTTGATCTGTAAGGGTGGGGGGTGGCCATGATCCCCACAAGGGACATTAACCCCTGCAGCCTGCATAATGGTGTGTGTGTGTTTGTGTGTGTGCAGACCTTTTTAATTTCTCTGGGAGTGGTTCCACTTTTGTGACCCAGGAAGCCGGAATAGATCCGGTGAAACGAAAGGAGGTGGGGTGGCTCCGTGGGCCCAGTCTAGAGGAGTCACCAAAGGGGGACCTTCAAGTGGTTGAGTGTTGTTTGGGCAGAGGAGCTGAGCGCCCGGCGCCTCCGGTCTTTGCCACGCCACTCCTCTGGGCGGACGAGACGGAGGCACAGGTTCCACTCCACAGGCGGGCTTGCCTGATATCTGACACAGGAACTGATTGTGGGGGCTTTTGTTAGAACGTGAGCCCCAGCCTCTAGGAAGGCGCTTGGCCAGTCCTCTCGGTGAGTTCCTCCCTCCCTCCCTCTTCAGCCTCTCACCTGGGCATTGCGCTCTCTCTTCTCTCCCCCCCACAGATACATCCCTGCCATCGTTGACCACACCGGGGGTCTTCCTTGCCAGGGGACGTTCCTGCTTCATCAGGTATCGTGAGGCTGGAATTGAGGTCATGCTTGCGCTGTGTTGAGGCCCGGCTGCCCTGCGCGGTTTGGATCAGCACCTCTTGTCTTTTAACGTGACTTCAGACTGAGGCGGAGGATGATAGAACTCGCTACGTCCTCGCTGCAGGCTTGTATGTTGCTCTAAAGGAGATGAGGCTAATTTATCCTCCCCTGCCCCCCCTTCCCTCAGGGAATACAGCGAAGGATCACCGTCACCATTATCCACGAGAAAGGAAACGAGCTGCATTGGAAAGACGTGAGAGAGCTGGTGGTGGGTAAGTATCGCCACCCCCACCCCCCCAATCTTCCCCTCTTTCAGGTCAGTTCGCTTTTTCACACCCTCCTGGGTCCAGTCTCTCTAATAGGCACCTAAATATGTGGGGCTTCGGCATCTCAAATGTCATCCGCAGGCAGAGTCCATTAAGGATGCTCGATAGGAGAAAACGGTTTTAGCGGCCGTGCAACTCCAGCCACTCTCAGCTTTCCCGTGGTGGAAATTGCACCCCGAATGCTCCCTGGCAGCAAAACTTGACAACGCTGAGACGTATTATACTTTGGGGATATAATAAGAAAGCCAGGCACACTCTTAGGCGCAGTCATGGAGAGAAAAGGCAGCCGGAGAAGAGAAAGACCCAGATGTGAGATGGAGTGACTCAGGAACGGAAGCCACAGCCTTGAGTTTTGAGAGCCTCGAGCCAGACCGTTCGTGATAGGATCTTTGGCGGGGTTACACGTTCATGCTGTCGTCAGAAGCTGGAAGGGTTTTGATGGCATATAACAGCAACACACTTGCTGGGAGGGGAGGTGTTTTTTTAAAAAAAGGAAGTTGTCTTCAGTGGCGGGGTTCAATAATAGTATTGAGAAGGTGGTGAAGATGGAGAAACTCCAACTTAAACGCTGTCCCAGCCTGAGCAACTACCCAGAATTTTTGTTTCCTACAAAACTGGATTCTGTCAAAGGTAGCTTTAAGCCAAGAAAAATGTGTATGTCTTTTTTTTTTAACCCCACCCGCACCTTCAGGGCGCATCAGAAACAAACCGGAAGTTGACGAAGCGGCGGTAGATGCCATCCTGTCTCTCAACATCATCTCTGCGAAATACTTGAGACTGTCACACAACTCTAACAGGTAAGAATCGGCCTCGGGCGTCGCTTTGCTGGAGCCTCCGCACCTCACGTCCGGTGGGCCTGTGTCAGGATCTCCTCCATGTCCAAAGCTGGCCAGAGCCGGGGCAGCCGCTCTCCAGCTGAGCATCAGCAGAAATTTGGGGAGGGGAGGGAATCACTGGAGCAGAGGAGAAGAGCCGCCCTGGCGATGGGGCCCACCGCTTTCGGCTTTTCCAGATGCTTCCTCTTCTTCCTGGTCCTTGCGTGGCCACCCATGCGAATCAGAGGAGAAGAGCCGCCCCGGCGATGGGGCCCACCGCTTTTGGCTTTTCCAGATGCTTTGTCTTCTTCCTGGTCCTTGCGTGGCCACCCGTGCAGGTCATGATGGGAACCCCAAGTGAGGTTTCATTTGGGGAAACCTCTCAGTCCAGTGGTTTCCCCACCTTGGGTCACCCAGAGGGTCTTGGACTGCCCATCCCAGAAGCCTTTTCACCACCCGCTGGGGGCTGGCCAAGATTTCTGGGAGTCGTCGTTCCAAGAACACCTGGGTGACCCAAGGTCAGGAGCCACTGCCCAGCATGCGGCTGAGTTAGGGGCCCACCTCCTCCCCCAGGTTCTCTTTTGGCCGCCAGAGCATCGCTTCCAAGGGGTTTGGCTTGTCCTGTTTAGAGTCCTTGGGACACACGGTGTGTGTCCCCCCCTTCCAAGGGGTTTGGCTTGTCCTGTTTAGGGTCCTTGGGACACATGGTGTGTCCCCCCCTACACACACCCCCTCTCTTGGCCCTGGAGGCCCTGATGCTCTACTGCCCCCTCAGATCACTGAACCGGTACTGATGCTCAACCCATGGATGTCTTCCCCCCCAAGTCTCATGAGGCCTCGGATTGGGCTCCTGCCCTCGGCCGGGTCCGTGTGCCAGTGAAAGGGGACCCGTCCCGTGTTCTCTTTGTTCGTAATGTGCAAATAAGTTGCGGCTTGGTTGTTTTGTCCTAGCGTTGGGTGGTTGTGGTTGTTGTCCCCCCCCCCCGTCTGCTTTTTTCTTTTTCCCCTTCTCAGCTGTTCGCGCTTTGGGCTGCACTAATGAACGCTTTCTGTGTCTTCACAGGCTCTTCCTTGATAAGGATATGCCTAGGTATTTTCAGTTTGCTTCCTTCGCACATAAAGATTCTGGCTCTATAGAATGCTTTATGTCCCGTCCCTTAGTTAACCCCATGGCGTCTCTGGTCTTCTCCTTTCTCCTGTGGCCCCCCACCCCGGGCGTTTGCAGGCACTCCGTTCCCTAATGAACGGAGGCACCAATGCCTGCCGAGTCTCTCTTCTCTCTCTTCCTGGCACCCCCTGCCTCACTTGGATCCTTCTGTCGTCTCTTTCCGATGCGTTGTTTCCTCCTTCCCCTTTTCCTGGCGACAGCTTTTGAACCCTGTGTTCTTTGTGTCCCTGTTAGCATAGAGACCCCAGGGGGTGTCTGTGGGTCCCACAGGGGTCGGGAAGGCACCCCGTAGGATTGCTTTAGGCCCCTTTAATACCAAACTTAGGTATTTCAAGAGGGTTCCTCCCGTTTTTCCTGGATGCCTCTGATAATTCCCCACCTTCTCTGTCTCTAGCTTTTCCCCCTCTCTCTCTCCTTCAACTCTGGTTTCTGTTTGAATCCTCTCCCGATACTCATCCGGAAATGTGGTGCTGCCATTAACCATTTAACTACACCCACTGCTTTTCTTGTCGACGTTCTTTCTCTCTCTCCAACTCCTACCGGTTTAATTCTAGAACAGCTTTGCGCCAGGGTTCACATCTCCATTCCTGGCTGACATCCTTGGAGAAAGTGGTTTTAAGACTCCAGAGCTACTCAAGAGGTTTGGAGCTGGATTTCCAGGCCCATCTCTGGGTGCTTGTCAGTAGCTTGTCAGGGTGGTTTGACTCCCAACTGCAGGGACAAAAGGCTTCCTAGCCTAAATTATACTCTTTAAACAAAGAAGGTTTAGGACAACAGACAGCAGGGTTTTGTGGGGCTGAATTGTGTCCTCTCTCCATTTCCGGGACTTGGAAAGAATTTCTGAGCTCAGGATTTGTTCACCAGAAGCATAGATCCTTTGCTCTAGTTTCCAGGCGATACCACTGGGAAGGGTCGTTCGTTCATTCATTCTTTCTTTCTTTCAGTGCCACAGTTTATGTATGTTGAATCTGGCAAGGGGCAGACCTTGAGAGGTCTCTCTCCGCCTTCTTTGTCCTTTCTGGCCTGTGACCTGCGCCTCCCCTTCCTTGTGTTGCTGCTTCCCCTGTCATTCTCATGTCTGTGCTTTTCCCCCCTCCCTTCTTTCAGCAGTTCTTTTCCTTTCTTTTCCCCCGTCCCTTTGCCCTTTACACCGTACGACGGCGTAGGCTGGCCTAGTTTTAGAAAGAGTTTAGGATCCTCTTTTGTTCTTGTGTGTGTGTGAGTTTGGGGGGGGGGGAAGAGTCTCCAGCATTCTGACAGAAACAGGAGGCTTCCTCCAGACTGTTCCACATGCACACTCAAAGGGTCTTGTGAAGGGCCAAAAGAACCCCAGAACCCCATGCCTGCAAGGGGTGCTTCTTAAAAACTGTCTTTTGCCCCGGAGGCTGCCATGCGTGGAAGCTGTGGCTGCTCCCTTTTCTGACCTCTCGCGGCCCCTCCTTAGAGCCATTCTCCGGAATGGGGGAAAGAGCTCCCGACGAGGTCCGGAACGACGAGGCCAGCCCTTCCTTCTGTTTCTTCAGAGGTTCTGTTCTTGGCGGAGAAGGGAGCGCTTGCTGCTGGGCAGGGCTCCTGGCTGCCACCCCTGTTTCTTCCCTTTGCCCCTTCTGATGCCCATTCTCTCGAGGGAAGGGAGCCTGGCTGTGCGGGCAACCTGGCCACCACCTCCTCTTAACGTCCTCTGATATCAACAATAGCTGCTCAGTCAGGGAAGGACCCCCGAGGGTGTCTTTGGGGGGGTGAGTTCATCCAGAGCACCATCAGTCAAGCACCACCCTGAATGTATCTGTGAGCTCTGAGGGAGAGCATCTGGGTTCTGGTCTGTGACCCATAGACGGAGGCGCCTGTCCCTCCTGGTCCCTCTGAGAGCAAGGGAGAGAAGAGCAAGGGAGGGGACCAGTTCAGAACCGGAACGCATCTCTTGGGTCCCAGACACGCTCAGCCATCTGGCTTCCCTCAAGCCAGGCGTCTTGACTCGTTTGCGACCCTCAGTTCGGTCGGTCGAGATCTTGGACAAGGCTCTCCGGCCGGCAGTCCTGCTCCCCAGGGCCTTGTGCGGTTTTGGCCACGGCTGACGGTCTGTTGCCCTTGCCTCCAGGACTTTCTACCGCTTTGAGGCGGTCTGGGACAGTTCCCTCCACAACTCCCTCCTGTTGAACCGGGTGACCCCCTACGGCGAGAAGATCTACATGACCCTTTCGGCTTACCTGGAGGTGAGTGCGGGTCGCGATACCACCAGAGTGCTTGGGCAGAGAACCAAAGCTTGAACAGTCCTTAGAATGCCTGCGCGCCGGTTCGTGGGTTGCATTTGGGGGGGGGGGGAACCAAGTAAACCCGAAAAGAGCTTCTGGGCCGTTCCGCTTTTCAGCTCGACCACTGCATCCAGCCGGCCGTCATCACCAAAGATGTCTGCATGGTCTTCTACTCGCGAGACGCCAAGATCTCGCCCCCTCGCTCGCTGCGCAGCCTCTTCGGCAGCGGTTATTCCAAATCCCCCGACTCGTAAGTGAATGGGTGGGTGGGTGGATGGCTGCCAGCCGGCCCCTCATGAGTGGGACAGGGCTGGGATGGAAAGCAAGGGTGCTCGGGGGAGACCTAGCGTGGCCATGGCCATCTCTTAGCAGAGCGGGGTGGGGTTGGCAGAAATCTTAGACCTGGAGAGGGTGGAGCTCAATGGAGCCTAGAATGTCCCTGGCTGCATCCCCAGTATCACCAGTTAAAAGGAGCAAGGCGGGGATAATGGGGAGGATCCTTCTCTGCCTGAGACCCCGGAAAGCTGCTGGGGGTCAGAATAGCATCAGCCAAGATGGGCCAATAATCTGACCTAGCGCAAGGCAGCTTTCCAAGTCCCCACTTAGGTCGGTTCTTTTTTTGGGGCCGCAAGACCATGCGTTGGTCTTCTTTACTTTCCAAAGAGTCTGATGATGTTTTCTCTCTTTGGGGGTTCTCTCAACAGCAACCGAGTCACTGGGATCTATGAGCTGAGCTTGTGCAAAATGGCAGACACGGGAAGCCCCGGTAAGAAAAATTGGTCTGTAAGTGCATAGAAATGAAAGCCAGGGGGAGGTAGGTGCTTGAGTTATGGACGAGGGCTGGAGGAGGAAGGAGCTGCCTACAGTTCCTCCCTTACAGGGTGACCTGCTCCAGCCACTCCCTGGCTTTTAGCCTAGCCTTTTCCCCCCCCGGGGTTTGCTGTGTGGATAAAATCTGTGTGTGTGTGTGGGGGGGGGGGAGATCCTGGACGCCGGTTTCGGCTCCTTCCAGAAAAGTTTGCTTTGCTTTTCAGGGATGCAACGGAGGCGAAGGAAAGTCCTGGACACTTCTGTGGCCTACGTCCGTGGAGAGGAGAACTTGGCAGGCTGGAGGCCCCGAGGGGACAGCCTCATTCTGGAGCACCAGTGGGAACTGGAGAAACTGGAGCTACTCCATGAGGTGGGTGTGGCGGGAGGGTACCCAAGAATGGGGGCCTAGGATCCTTGCACACGTCCCATGGCATCGGGCCGTTGTGAGTTGCTTCAGACATCTTGCGGGTTATTTTAAGGAATAAAAACCAACTGGCGGATGACACATCTGTTCCTCCCCAGGTCGAGAAGACGCGCCACTTCTTGCTGCTGCGGGAGAAGCTCGGGGACAGCGTCCCGAAGTCTCTGAGCGAGTCGCTGTCCCCCAGCCTCAGCAGCGGGACCCTCAGCACCTCCACCAGCATCTCCTCCCAGATCTCGTCCACCACCTTCGAAAGCGCCGTCACGCCCAGCGAAAGCAGCGGCTACGACTCGGCAGACATCGAGAGCCTGGTGGACCGAGAGAAGGAGTTGGCCACAAAGGTACGGAAAACAGAGCCGCCTCCGTCCAGATTTGAGCCCCCTCCCGTTTGCTTCTCATGACGCTATTGCAAGGAAAGTCAGAGCCCGAGAGGGTCCCAGGGTGTGTGTGTGTGTCTTGGAGGCTTCACAGCCCAGCAAACTTTGAACCCAAGTCTCCTCCATCCATGATCCCATCAGCCTTTGTTTTGCATGCTATCCCATTCTTCAGCTTTGTGGGATGATGGGTGAAAAAAATACAGGATCTGCTCACAACCAAGCCTGAGTATCTTGAGTGCCGCCCTGATTCATACAGGATCTGCTCACAACCAAGCCTGAGCATCTTGAGTGCTGCCCTGATTCTGTGTGTGATGTGTTGTGTTGTGTGTGATGGGTGCCGTATGGAAGAGGTATGTGTGTGTTGTGTTGTGTTGTGTGTGATGGGTGCCATGTGGAAGAGGTGGCATCTGTGTGCTAGATTAAGGGAATCTGTCTGCAAAACTGGTCCCTCATCTTGCTTGGATGGAGGGAACTCTGCTTCTCGTATCCTACGTTCCCCCCCAGTCCTGGCTCAGATCTTTGATTCTTTCCAGTGCCTGCAGCTTCTGACTCACACTTTCAACCGCGATTATAACCAGGTCTACAACAGCATCAGTGATTGTAAGGTAAGTAAAACATCTGGACGGAAATCACAGCTTACGGGTTTTTAGGGCCGGGACGAGAGGAGGAAGGGAGGGACGCCTTGGGTTCTTGTCCATCCTCTCTGGCAGCGTCTTTCTACTTTGCTGTTTGGAACCACCACCGACTCCCTCCCCTGTTGCTCACCAGGCGGTCTCTTGTGTTCTTCTCCCTCCTCCTCCTCCTCGTCTAGCTGTCCGATATATCTCCAATCGGCCGGGACGCATCGGTCTCCAGTTTCAGCAGTGCCACCCTCACCCCTTCCTCCACCTGCCCCTCGCTGTCGGATTCCAGATGCAACTCGGTGGATCAGAAGTAAGCTGAGCCGAAGGGAGAAGCCCCCTCGGGCTTCCGTGTGCAGTCCCACCTCCGGCGGGGCCTCGCTGAGCCCGGCGGGTCGTGGCGTAGCCGTCTTCCCCCGCCTTGCTCTGCTTAATACGGTACCTTTTCTGTCGTTTTTAATCCAAAGGACCCCCGAAGCAAATTCTCGGGCCTCCAGCCCCGGCCCGGAGGGGGAGCCCTTCCAGCTGATGCCGCCCATCGAAGGCTCCTTCTTGGCTCGAGCCGGCAAGAACGAGTTCCTGAACCTTGTTCCGGACATTGAGGAAATCAGACCTGGGTGAGAATCTCTGCTTTCAGGCCACCAAGGAGCCCGGCCTGTGGTGTAGCCACGAGGAAAGCACTAAAAAACCCATCACTTTCTGAGCTCGGGGTTATTGGCTTCCTGTTCAGTTGACCCTCTTATGGAACGTGGTCAGTTAACAGGGGTTGCCCTTCTCTGGAGGAGGAGGCCAGAGGGTCCCCATGACCTGCACGTGCCGGACGTATGTTGTCCCCAATTCGTGTGAACAATGAGTCCGTAGACACACACACACACACACCCGAGCTTGCTCTCTTTCAGTTTGGGAGCCACTGACCTCTCCCCACCCCAAGGGAGACCTGGCCGTGCCGTGTCCAGCCACAGTTTCCAGCATTGGGGTGGGGTAGACCCCAGTGAGCTGGCTCGCTTCAAGGTGAATCCCTGGCGTGAAACCTTTGGCCGTCTGGATGAGTATGGACTCCATCTCCCAGAATCCCCAGGGACCATGGCCCATGCTGAAGGATTATGGGAGTGGTAGTCCACAATTCCTGAAGGGCCAGAGATAAGCTATCCCTTGACTTTCACCCCTTTTCAGAGCCAGACAGTTCGAGAGGTTGGGACGAGATGCCTTTTTTTTGGGGGGGGGGCTATGCCTAAATACATAAAAAGAGTGTGTGGCGCAGGCGTTCTGAATACCTGCCCCCCCTTGGGGCTTTTCCCTCTCCAGCGCCGTCGTTTCCAAGAAGGGCTACTTGCACTTCAAGGAGCCGCTTGCCCAGTCGTGGGCCAAGCACTTTGTGGTGGTCCGGCGCCCGTACGTCTTCATCTACAACAGCGACAAGGACCCCGTGGAAAGAGGGATCCTCAACCTCTCCACGGCCCAGGTGGAGTACAGCGAGGACCAGCAGGCCATGGTCAAGGTCAGTGCGGGCTGCGCCGTCTCCAGGCCCTGCGGGGGCTCTGAGGGGGGGGCCCACATGTGGCACTTTGCTGCAGTGTCAGGGGGAGCCTTCCCAGAGTGGCTGCCACAGAGCGGGACTCGGCTGCCGTGTCGGGAGATTTGAGGGAGAGGGAGAGGGAAGGGGTCGGGGATGCTCCGAGATGGGTCTGGGTGGTGGTGGGTGGGAAATGGAAGCAGGGTAGCTCATGACATGGAGTCTCCTACTAGGGCCGTGAAGCAACCATCAAGATCCTGATGGGTAGGAGAACGAAGCCCCAGGCTTCCTCAGGGTCTTGGCCCTCCTTAAATCTTTGCCAAGTGCAACGTAAAGCGTTGCGGCTTTGACAGGCGGTCTGACATCGGAAGGGGATCCCTTTTGAGAACTGCCTGCTTCTTGTCTTTCTCTAGACCCCCAACACGTTTGCGGTCTGCACAAGGCACCGCGGGGTCCTCCTCCAGGCCATCAACGACAAAGATATGAACGACTGGCTCTACGCCTTCAACCCGCTTCTCGCTGGCACGATACGGTAAGACGCGCCAAGGACGTTTGGGGGACGGCGGGAGCGAAGCTGGAGAGCCTGTCGTGGAGGAGGGACTAGGGGGGTAGAGGGAAAGAGCGTCTTGCCACAAGGCATGCTGGCAGCCCCAAGAGGCCCACTTGAAACCCGTCAGATGAAAGCAGAGCCCGTCGGCTGGTGGCCAGAGTTGTCCCCTGAATTTAGGAGTAGAAACCAAGATGTATTTGAGGGGAAGTGCCGCTGCCCGAGAAGGCTCCAGGTTGGGACTGGCTCTTCCTCTCAGGCTGGGTATGGCGGCAGCCAGAAGGCAATAGTTGTAGGAAATAAGAGAGGAAGTGGGAGAGGAAATGTCCGCTGGGGCACCTTGGTTGGGAATAGAGGTTGTGAATCCTATAGAGCTGGAGAAACATCTCTTTCCAGATCCTTCATGGGAGACCCTTCCTGACGACAGCCAATTTGAATGTTATTGCCTGCTTAAGAAGCAGATCGGCTTGTCGGAAACCAAACTCCTTTTTTTTTCACTGCAGCTCCCAAAATCTTTGAAAGCCATGTGGATTTTGTGAGTTGTAGTCCAAAAACAAAAAAGTTTTATTCCCCCCCCCAAACTCTGCAGGAATTCATGAACTTGGAAAGTCTTCTTACTGACGTTGCTTGCCGAGGTGTTAGGCTCTTGCAAACTTATCTCTCTACGTGTATACGGTCCTGGTTGCTGGTCTAATGTCCATGTGTGTCCCCCCCCCAGCCCCCCAGTTTAATCCCATCGAAAGGCCACGGTGCTCCCAGCCCAGCCTGATGATATATGTTTCAGAATAGGTCAAGAGGCAACCAGAGACAAGAGGACAGCTAGGAAAACTGTCAGAAAACAGGATGTATGGCCACCTTAACCCAGCTTTTCCTTCTTCTCCTGCACAGGTCCAAACTCGCCCGAAGACGCTCAGGACAACTGAAGTACTGAGTCCGTGTGGGGTTTTCATCCGATTACTCCCACCCCCTTCCCTCTTCTAACACGCCTTCTGATATAGATAAAGCATTACCTCTCCTTTCTCTGTGATTCTTGAATTTCTCTCTTTTTCTTCTCATATGTAACCCTGTGGCTTAACTTTCCCAGACCCTCTCCTGCGTCCCCCCCCTTCAGCACTTATCCAGTTCTCCTCACACTCTCCTCCCCTTCCCCTGTTACAATGACTGTTCCGTTAATTTTGTTTTCACCTGTGTTCAAAATACTATTAATAATAGCATGTGGCCAAACGGAAGACAGAAATAGTGGTGGCGGGGAGGGGGAGGGGGTGTTCCGATTTATATGCACGACTTTTTAAAAAGAAGGGGAAACAAACTTGGGATTCCCCCCCCCCCATCTTGGCACTTGGTTCGTCCTCCAGCTGCCTTCGTCCGTGGTGTGTTTGTCTCTGTCTGGACCCTCACCCCTTTCCCCCTTTTCGGCTTTTTGCTTGTCTCCCATGATTTCGACGTTGCTCTGCTCCATGGCTCCTGAGGCGAGGCTCCCTGCACTTTCTGTGCCATCCGTGCGGGGGATGCGGCCGAGATCCCTCGAGGGTCCCCCCTTTCCCAAAATCAGTGCATCCGTGATTTTAGGACTCTCTGCTCTGCAGTGTTCTGTTGGCACTTAAAAGACTTCTCGGTGGCTTCTCTCTGCGGGTGCTTGTGATGGCCTTGCGGTTGTTCTCTGCAGTTCTTCATCTCCCAGGGCTTTGCCTGCAACTGATCCTTCGAGAAGGGCTAAGGTGAGCACAACGGGTTCAGGCGCCAGCGTGCATGGTGGTCAGGATCAGTCCTCTCACCGCCGGGACCAGTGACTGCCGCCTGCAGAGTTCCAGCCGTGACTCGGGAGTGTTTGAACCAGTAATCAACTCAGAAGGATTGTGCTGGAGAGACTGCCTGGGCTTGGCCTCGTGGCTACCGAGGGCTCGCAATCTCATATATATATGTTCTTTTTCTTGGAACCAGCCAGTGACGGTGAAGGAAAGAGAGCAGAGTCTGGAGCTTTGCCAGGGACTACAACTCCCAGAATACCCCAGCCTGCGTGGCCACTTTCCCAAGCTCCGGAGGGGATCCTCAAAGTTTGAGAAGTCTATAAGTACGTCAGGAAGGTGCAGCCGTTCGGTTGTGTTAGCAGTGTCCCAAAAGATCACAAGATTCCTTTCAGTTGGAGTGATGGAGGGTGAGAGAACAGAAGACACTGCGTTCCGTGGGGCACAGGAGGAAGAAGACTGGGAAATGTAGGAGGCTTGTAATCCTTGCAGTGGGGGGGGGGAGGCTCCTTCTTAACCTTCTGTCCCCCAGAATCACAGTTCCTCAGAATCCTTTGCAGGATTTAACCCACAACTTTGGGCTGGGGACAAAGTTGCCTCCCCGCTGCTACTTGTGGTGCTTCGCAGGCAGTTGGCAAATGACCTAGACTTTAAAATTCTCACTTCAGTAACACTACCCTGTCAGAACTCTAAAGGCAAACCAGTCGGAGCTGCACGGACATGTTTGGAGGCCGGGGGGTGGTGGGGGTGGGGTGGTCGGTTGTTGCTGTTGTTTCTAGAGAGAATGGATCTTTATATCTTCCCCCTGCTTTCCCCAGTGTAAAACAGCATTTTATCCGAACTAGTGCCGCTCTTGACAGCGCTGCTTATTCAGTCATTTACACATCTGCGTAGGAGAGAAGTCCTAAAAAAAGGGGTTGGGTGCCCTTCTTTCCGCCCTCCTTAACATCTAATTACAAATTTTCATAGTAATTTCGTAGTTGAGCAGGGTTTGCTTACACAGGCTTGAAGCAGCTACCCTCACCCTGATGAGGTATTCTTGTTGCTTGTTTAATCTGCAAGGTTCTAGGTCTCTCTTAGCATTCATGTTCTAGATGGTCCTTGCCCTCACTTGCAGAAACACCAGCTGAAAGGAGGAGGAGGAAGAGAAGAATTCGCTCATTTTGGAATTGTCCCACTTGAACATTGCAGGGTCAATCCATATAGAAATAATTCCCTGAACACAGAGGACTGCAGGGCTATGTCCCTCTGCCTTGAGCTGCTAGTTTTCAATATGTAGGGAACTGTTTGGTGTGGAGAGACATGCGCCATCATGCAAGACTCATCGTGAAGTTTGGAGTGGTTATGGTTGATCTGTACCTGCTGCTTGTAAGAACGAGGCCTTAATCCAGCCCTTCCTCGTTCTCCTGCCAAAGCTTTCGATTTCTCCTTGTGAATTCATGTCTGCTTCTTCAGAGGAGCCGCCGTACCCTCGTTCCTCTTCCTTTCCCAACTCATGTTGACTTTGATCAAGGAAGATCTTGGACCATCCAGACAGCAGTTTGAGCCTTGGGTGGTTTTATGTCCAGAAAGGACTAAGTACATCAGAGACTATCGGCTGGTCTGTCTATCCATTGCCTTCTGATGCATTTCAGAACAGTTCACGCCATTGGATTGAGGGATACTTCCTTCAAACCTCTCCTCCCCACCTAACAGAAACTCACTGGAAATCAGCCCTGGAGGAGCGCTTTCACACCAACGTAGCAACCTCGCTGCATTTTGGAGAATATTTCAGTTCTATCATGAAAACACCAGGGAGCTTGCCGTGGTAGTGAAGCTAATTTTTAACACGCTCATCCTTTTTTCTTTCTTTCTGAAGCATAGCAAGTGTTCAGGATACAACACATTTGGACAGTTTTGTGGGTTTCCTGGACCACCTGGATGGGAGGGTGGGCTCAGGCATCCCCCGTCATGACATGAAATGGGGCCACGTGTGCGTTTTTGCTTGTTCATTCATTATACTCTAATTGTGTCTGTCTTGGTACAATAACTAATGTTTCTTTCATCATAAAATGGATCTGTCGTGCACTGCTGGTGCGGGTGTGTATGTGAATGCATGAACCGAGGCTGCTGGTTGAACCGCTAAGCAGATTCTGTCTTGGTTTTAAAGAATGGGGCAAGATTTTGCACACTGCGTTACATCGCTATACCTGCTTCCTTTGGGAGAGGCAGGGAAATGTGTGTAGGGCCACAGAACCCGAAAAGAGCTCTTTTGACACTGTTTACATGCACCCTAAGATAACCTTGTGTTTGGTTTTTCTTGTGGTATCTTTGTTTTTTTTAACGTGGAAAAAAAACTTGTCTGCAAAGTCTTTGCTTTGGAAGGATCACTGTCTTAGGAATGGGCTATAAATACAGGGGTTATGTATAAGCATTAAGGGACTCTCTTTTAAGTCCAAGAGCCAGGAAGAACATGGGAGATTCAGAGCTGAGAATTAGGTCACAGGTTATCCCATCACCTTAGATCGATTTATACTCAGGGTGCAGGTCGGCCAGAGGGCAAGTCTCCATTCTGAGCCCCCAGCCTGTCTGCTTGGGGGAAAAGGGACCCAATGCAAAAAAAAATTCATAGCGCCTTTCTAGCCTGGGCCATGAGCCTTTCCTTTGTTGTCCGTTCCAGAAGGGTTACTGATGGACCAGTCCTCCTTATCACCATCATCTTCTCCCCCCATGCATCATCATTCCATTGAAGGGACACAGTCCCGAATAGGGAAGGACGGAGAAGTTTGCATTCCACCCCCCTCCCGCCCCGAAGGTACGAATCAGTCTGTAAAGAAGTGTGGCAGCTTGGCGGGTGGTTGCTCCCCTAGAGTCAGCCAGCTCTTAGGGGACCTGCCGGGCTGTCAGGAGGCACCACGCCATGGCCTGGGCCAGCCAACCCACGGAACATGATCCGTGACCTCCAAGCGGGCTTCCCCGTTGGCGCTGCTGTATCTCGCGAGCGCGGGGGGGGGGAGGATTTGCTACTTTCTCAGGCAAGGAACCAAACCAAACCAAGTTCTGGAAGTGATGCTGGACTCAGAATCACAAACGCCACTTCTTTTTCCAGCTATAAGCTCTCGGTTTTTATTTAACATGACTTTTTTTAAAAAAAACACACAAACAATGCACTTTAATTCTTTGGCCAGTATTACAAGAAGGTGTAAAGGGAAAAGGGGGGGAAACCCCTCGGGAACCATTTGTCCCCTTCACAGATTCCCTTCGGTGCTCCAAAGCAAAGATTTTCCTCTGCTGCTTTATTACTTAGGGATAATTTACAGGGAATAGTTAGTTTTTTTTAAAAGTGATGTTTATGCATTTGTAGCTGAATTGCACACTAAAGCCAGAGATGGAGAGACCCCTTGGTATGTTCTGTGGTCAGTGAATGCCTACTTAACTGCCTCGTCAAAAGGTACCGTCCTCTGCACTCACAGCTGGCCAGATGTTGTTTTGTTCCATGGCTGTTTTTTTGTTTTTGTTTAACTTGCTGCTTTAAAAGACTGGGAAGAAAACTAATTTTGCTGCTCTGAGGTTTATTGAATGTATCTGAAACAAAACTTCACCCCCGTCTTCATACAGCATTTTTTTCTGTTGCGGCCAACTCCACTCCTCCTGTAGCCCGTCCAGATTCACGGTCTCCTCTGTATTTCTTACGTCACAGGAATGTATGCAATTTTTGCTTCCTCATTCAGACAAAAACATCAGCCATTTGGGAACAAAAATACGTGTTTTGGGGGTTATGGTTTGGAGGAGGAAGGAGTCCAAAAGGCCATGTATGAATATGCAAAGTGCAGACACCTCTAGTAAATCGAATTACTTCAAGGGGTCTTTTAATTTCTGCTGGCATTCATTGATGGACGTGTTTTTTCCCCAGTGTGCTACTTTGGAGAGAGGTGTGCTCTGCTTTCCATACTGTTGACTCCATGCTCTCATTTGGAGAAATGCTGAGTTACTCTTGGCACTTGTGAAGGCCTGAGAGTACTGCTTCTACGCCCCTCACATCCAGAACAGTTCTTGGGTTTTATCCCTTCTGTTATCCTCACCTAAATGACATATTAAATAACATTCTTTTCACAATAGTAATAAAAAAATTTAATAGATGCCTACTTTTCTTCACACACCTCCACGTACATCCCCCCTTGATGCTTCTCCAGCCAAACTGCACAACATAAATGGCCTTCTGGAACCCACTCCCCACCCCATTGATGTCATTCCGGCAAAAAACCAGTACATCCCTACCACTGTACATTATTAATTGCCGACTCGTTTGTCTCTTCCCCCCTTCCCTCCCTCCATGTTTTATTTTGTAAATATATCTGATGTATGGAGCTTGGGTATACAAAATGTAAATACAACTTCATGTATTTGTACTAATTCTGATCCATTTTGCTGTATAGCCTTTAGGTGTGCAATGCAGATAAACTACTATCTAACTCTGTGTATGGTAACTTTGCACCACCAAACTGTTAGTGAACAAGGTGAAAAACAATAAAGATAAAACCAGTGCATTACCAAGATACCCCTTCTGGATTGAGTTGGGTGAGCTTCTTTGTACGTTTATTTGAATATGTGGTTTACCAGGCCATCCCTTGGACTGTAATTTTTGCCGTAATACTTCACCATTTTCTGCCTGGCTCGGGTTGCTGTGCCTTCGCTAACACTCTTGAGAGGAAGCAAATCACATGCTGAAAACTCACCATATCTAACACCTGAAAGAGCTGAGACACTGATCTTGAAAAGCATCTTGAAAAGCCCAGGAATGAATTCCAAGCCACTTCAAGTTTGAGGATTTAGGGTTTTGAGCAGGCTGTGGAGAATCCTAAGAGGCAGAAAATTGCCCCTCGACCAGCTAAAGGTACAACCCTTATACAGGTTTTGAAATGTTCCTTTTGGTCTACAGACCTATCATCTCTTTCCTTCTGGTGAATCTGGTAACTTTTGGGGGGTTCTGTTCTCCAGCCAGCTGTCCCATTCACCTTGACGGTAAACAGTCACCAGAAACGGTGGACAGCAGATTCCTGCTGCCCTGAGGGAGGAAACCCTTGCCCTCCTTGTTGACTTAAATCCCTTGCCCTGGTGAGTTCCTTCCTGATGAGACTAGAAGCTGTTTGAGAGTAAGGTGCCCAAGAAGACTTGCCACTGGTTTTCGTGGTGGCCTCATACACCATCTCCCAGTCTGAGGAGGAACACCTGCTATGAAAAAGGCATTCAGCCTGGGAGGGGGGTAGGGGGGGGAGAGGTGGCTCCAGGAAGACTTGTTTGGAAAGCTTGCTTGCCTGGATAGGTGTTGGGCAGGCAGGTGGCACCCAATCACCAGGGTTGAGGTGAAAGCAGGGAGGGTGTGTATAGGAGGAACTCCATCTCGCAGCAGTGAGCGTTTCCTCCTCCCCTGATTCACCAGCACCACCACCTCTCATCCTTTGGCTTCTCTTTTTGAATTTTCAAAGATGGTAATTTCCAGCACTATTTTTAATTTTAAGGGCTACAGAAATCACCCCTCTTGTGGAAGCCAGCCCTATTAGGGTACTGGTGGGACTGGAGGTAGGACTGATGGCATAAAAATACAGGAAATAAAGCACATGCTTATGGAGTAGAGTTGGTTGCAAGGAGATATTTAGCATCCTCTAGTTAGGAGATCCCTTGTGTTATCGGGGATGCGGGGGAATGGTATAGGTGTCTTAGAAGTAAGGCCTGAAGGGGCTCGGTAGATTCAGGGGGGCTTCCTTTCGAGTCAAGATCTCTAGGGCTGTACTGGAAATCGGTGCCTTTTATCCTTTCGAATCTTGTACCAGACCTGCCTTGGGCACATCCTGAGAAGGCAGGAGTCCCTGGAAAAGACCACAAGGTGGAAGGCGGCAGGGAAAGAGGAAGACCTGAAGCCAGATGGACTGACTCCTCGAAGGAAGCCACGGGCTTGAGTGTAGCGGAGAGCGCCCTTGAAGCCAGGCCTTTTTGGCGATGGCTCGTTTTCATAGGATCGCCATCAGCCCGAAGGTGGGCACAGGAAGCACAGCCATTCCCTAAACGAGGAGGGTTTCCTAGTTCAACGCAAACCCCTCCCAGCCAAAAGCTGCCCCTCGGGAAACGGCAGCAATCCTGGCTCCGCGACCACCGCAGTGAGAGAGAGAGAGGCCGGGGCAGGCTGGACAGAAGGGCCCCCCCTTTTCCAGGGCGCACCGACCGCCGCGCCCTGCGCCTTTAAAGGGCCGCCGCCGCGCCCGATCAGCCGAGGCTGGGCCGAGCCGGGTCCCTCCTCCCCCGGTGGGCCGGCCCGGGCGGAGCGGAGGAAGGAAGGAAGGAAGGAGGAGCCCGGCCATCGGGAAGCGCCGGTCGCAGCAGCAGCAGCAGCAGGAGGAGGAGGAGGAAGCCGCGGAGCCGAGCCGTCGCCATGGTCGAGTGAGTCGCTGGCCTAGGTCACCCCCCCTAAAAGCCTGGGCCCGGGAAGGAAGGGGGCAGGGAAGGGGGGGGAGAGGGAGCGAGGAAGGCGAGCAGGCCCCAGGCGTGGCTACTCGGGAGTAAGCCCCGCCGCGCTCTTCTGGGGCGCCCGCGGAAGCCAGCGAGCGCGCCCCGGAGAACTTTTCCCCTCCGTGCGTAAAAGCCCCTCCATTCGTTTCCTCTCTCGAAAGAGAAAGAGAGACGTGGTTCCTTTTTTCCAGCCGAGGCGGCGCGCAAGGAGCGGGTCCCGATCCCCCGTGGGAATGGCAGCCGACCCTCAGGAAAACCACACACATCCACACACACACCCGCCCTTTAAGCCTGGTTAAGCCTGTGTAGCCGTGCCTCTTTTCTAGATTCAAACTTACTTTGCGGGGCACCTCCGGGAAGATTACTGCCCTCCAAGCCCGCAGTGCTGACAGATTTGGGTAGTTGGGGTGTGAATGTGGGGGTGATGGTGAGTGGGACGGCGGCAGAGAGCACTCTGTACATGCCCAGAGACTGTTCTGTGGATCCTTCACATTTCACCAGGAGTGAACTCTAGAAAGGAATATGGGCTTGGTTGTGCCGATGGTTGAGATTTTACTTTGGAAATCTAAGCAGTTTCAACTTGGACATACTTGTTAGCTCTGTGGGAGGAGACACGTAGGTGTGCTAATCTGTGGGCAGAGCCCTGATCTGATGGAGGGATGATGGGTGGGGTAAAAATGGATTAAGTGGATTTGTCCTGTCGATTTCAGTGGCGAGCCCTGGATCTCTGCGGTGTATTCACCTGGCCGGGGGGGGGGTTGCTTTCCTTCCTTCCTTTTTTTCCCCCCAGTTGAACAATTGTGAAAGGCACAATGTTTGTTATTTATTTATTTAAAATATTTTATATTGCTCCTTTTGAATACTTCCATGGGAGGGGGGAAAGGAATTAATGTGAACTGAACTGAGTGGACCGCTAGCAAGAATGAGAAATGTTTACGTGGATGTTTCTGTGCAGGATGCATTTGCAACATTATTAACGACTAAACAACAACCCTTAATTATAGATTGCATAATCTGGAGTAAATGACCTGGGCAACTGGACTGAGCTAATTCCACCATTGCAGATCCATAATCCCGATTAGCATTGTGAGGTCACTCCAAGAAGGAGTGTTATGAATATTTATTTAAAATATTTCTGTGCCTTCTTTAGAAGCAAACCTCCCCATGGTGGTTCACACAGGAAGAATTTGGAACACTCACATACAAAAAGAGTTTGGAATATTTAAAACAGTCACTTAAAAAATTGCAACAGAAAAGATGGTCAAGAAATCATTTAAAACCAGCCCAATACAGTACAAGCCAGTCTTTAAAAAACCCATTTAAAAACTGTGGTGGTGGGTGGGAGCCCTGCACACTACCGGAGGAATGGGCCACCACAGAGAAGGCCCTGTCTTTTGTGCTGGGGTGGCTGAAAAGAGCTTTCCAAGGCGAAAAGCTGATCCTCCGTAGCTCATATTAGGGTCCAGGCAGATTCACATGAGTGTAAAATCGTCTATCAAATAACCTGGTGCTGGGCTATTTAGAACTTGGCTATGGAACAGGTTTCCATTTCAATAGGAACTTAAGATCAGGTACGGAGGGTCCGATGAAAGGTTTGCACCTGATCCCACTTGGAAGTCCGGAGGCGAGACCTGAACACAAGACCCTTCTGTCCGTTGCGCTCCCCTGTGTACTGTTCTCTGACCAAGTGTGTCTTATGAACCTCTTAACTAGGAAGGACTATAAGAATCGGGAAGAACTCGCCCTGCAGAGGGAAGAGCACGGGCAGGAAGCATGTTGCCATCGGTGTGTACACACACCGCTCTCGTAACACTTGGCCAGCTTAAATTGTGCAAGCCCTGATGATCTGAAAGACGGCAGAAATGTGTTATGAAAACCATGTTGAGCCCCAGATTTAATCCCTTTGCTTTTTGAGGGGGCACAGAAAATCCACTCTCTCCTTCTTATAATCATTTCTTCTTTTTTGTTTGTTTGTTTTGTTTTATTTCCTTTTTCTTTTCTTTCTTTTTTTTGGGATCCTCGCTGTGTTTAAGGAAGGTCTCTCTTGTTGAGACACCCAGAAGGTTTTCTGCCTGGAACGTCTAGTTTGGAGTCTCTTGACTGTCTGGGTCTCTGAACTAGATTTGCTCCTGGTGGGTTTAAGGCATTAAGCAGGAGACAACCTTTTAAATACATCTTGATTTTTAATCCCCCCCCCCTTCATCAGATTCTTTTATTCTTTGGCACCCTGGCCTGGGTGGTGAAGACAGAAACCTCACTGGGTTTAGGTAATCCTATTCACTTCCTGTTCATTTCCCATGGTAAGACAATCGTGCTGTCTTGCAAGACGGTGTTGCAACGGGTGCCCCCATCTTTTGCAATCTCTCAAGTCCGGAGTGCTTTGCAAAAGGGCCTTCTTTCCCTGCCGGTCCGCCCCCCCCCTTCCTCTGTGTGGCTTCAAGCACTCCCTGGTTCTTGAGACCTGCCCTGTGCAACTAGTCTGTCTTCTTTTGCATGGCTGAGACAAAAGGAGAAGATTCGCCAGAAGGAAAACCTGTTTTTGTGCTCCAAGCTCGTATTCTAATTTGGAATGGACTGGCAGGACCTTGTCCTCTGGACTGCAGTGGTTCCCAGATGTTCTCGGACTACAGCTCCCAGAAGCCCCCCACCACTCGCTGGGCTGGCTGGGATTTCAGTCCAAGGACATCTTGGGAACCCATTGATCTAGAGAAGGGCGAGATGCTCCATACGGTTTCTTTGGTGTCAGGCAAGCGGAAATCAGGGCTCAGTTAAATCGGCTCCCAAAGCATCTGCAGCTGAGCCCATTGGACTGATCCACCTAAAGAGGTGTATTTCATAGGCCCGGAGGTCGGCAGGTCCGATGGCCTGCAGCCGAGTCTTCTAGCAAATGTCCTTTCTGTTCTTTTCCTTTTCAGAGCAGACATTGCCTTGATCGGACTGGCCGTCATGGGCCAGAATCTCATCCTGAACATAAACGATCACGGCTTCGTGGTGAGTTAAAAGTCCCGGAGACGTGAGCTTCATATTTCAACCGTGATGCTTTTGTTTCGACCGCATGCTTTACCCTGCCCACACTGCATCATCTCAAAGAATCTAAAATGGGGGGAAAAGAGGGATTTTTCTTCCCCTGGTTTTGTTTTTATTTTTTTATCTCTCAGTCCAGCTGTTAACTTGGCTAACTTTCTTGAGCAGCCCTTTCCAAAACTCTTCTTAGACATTGCCGTGGATTCTGTAAGTGTTAAAATAGGATGCTGTGATCAGTGTTGAAAAGACCAAGGGTTGGGAACCGAGGGGTGCAGATGTTTATTTTCAAGGCGCTGTGACTGGTTAAAATCCCTTTTTAGTTCTCTTTCACTGGCAACAGAAAAAAAAACAAAACGAATGCAGGTGGCCTCTTCTCTTTTTATTTCTCTAGAAGTGGAAAGAGCCTCTTCGTCCCAGAAATGCAAGGGCAGATCTGGCTATTGTACTCCATAAATTTCAGTAATTCTTTCCGAAAAATAATTTTTAAAAAAGCTAACTCTCCCAGTTTCCTTTCTTACCCTCCCAGGTCTGTGCATTCAACAGGACTGTCTCCAAAGTGGACGATTTCCTAGCCAAAGAAGCCAAGGGGACAAAAGTGATCGGCGCTCACTCGCTGGAAGAGATGGTCTCAAAGCTGAAGAAACCACGCCGGATCATCCTCTTGGTGAAAGCTGGGAGCGCGGTGGATGATTTCATCAACAAACTGGTGAGGGGACTGACATAGGCAGGAGACTGGGGAGGCCTTGACTCAGTCCAGGGACACAACGGCATTCGGTTTTTCTGCAAGCCAAACCAAACCATAGTTTCCAATTCTGGCTGCATGGGTTGTGGTAGCCATCGCTTGCACAGTTTGGATGTGACGGTAAACTGTGTTTTGCTGGAACTGGAAGGTTCTGGGAGAAGCCTCCATGACCGCTGTTGTCTTTAGGCTCGGCTCGTAAACTTCTTAAGAGTTCCCTCGGCCTTCTGGAAAGCAAGCTGCTACCAATTTTATTTATTATTCCTTGTTCTGATGTCTTCTGGTATAGAGTGAATGAGACAAAAAAATCATGCCACTTCTTTTCACTGACAGGTGCCACTGTTGAGTCCTGGGGATATCATTATTGATGGTGGAAATTCTGAGTATAGAGACTCGACGGTACGTGCGCCTCGCTTCTCCTCCGAGGAACTTGCGATAGGGTTGGCTGAGATCATGTGATTCTTACAAGTACGACTAAGGGTTGTGAAATATCGTTGTTTGCCCCAAAGCTTCTGGGGGTGGGGGGTGGGTGGGCTTGAATTGGAACTTCGGCTTTCTTGATGCAACTCTTACCTGGCACATCCGTTGTAGGCAGCTTTTAGTCTTGTGTGATCTACTGTGCTATAGTTCATATCCTCCGATCCGTCCCATGTACAATTAAATAATTCTGCACCCAGAGTTTTGTTTTGAAATCCGGAGTCCTTCTGCGCCTAAAAGCCACTGCTGGTGATCCTGGGTTTTTCTTTCCTTTCAGCCGTCTAAATTAGGGTGGGGATTTTATTGCTGTTATAATTGGGAATCAGAAACGGTCGCTGCATGACTGCAAATCTCTTAAGTGATAACCGAGTAGCTCTAGATCCACCTTCCCATCCATGTGCTAGATGAAAAGTAATTAATGCAGGACTGGGTGCATAATTCAATACGCTTTAAAAAAAATATAAAAGCTGCAGGTGCCTAGTCCTTAAGATCACAAGGGTGGGCTTCCATGCATGGGCTTCCAACTGAAACATTAGACTGAGCAGGGTTTAAAAGGCTTTTTTTATTGGCTTCAATTGCTGCAGGAATCTGCTTTTCTTTTCAGCACCAGGTATACTTTGTGCTAAATAAGAGATGCGTCAGCCTCATGCCACAGCTTTCCCTTTGAGATGAATTACTCTCTCTCTTTCTTCTGTATTCAGAGGCGCTGCAAGGAGCTCAAGGAGAAAGGCATCTTGTTCGTGGGGAGCGGGGTTAGCGGTGGCGAAGAGGGGGCCAGGTACGGCCCCTCACTTATGCCAGGGGGAGCCAAAGAGGCATGGTAAGTGTCCCGTTTTCTGCTCACTTTGTGTCCTTGAACAGGGTGTCCTTTCTGCTTGGACTGCGTGCTGCTGAAGAGAGATGCATGTAGGAGACTGTACTGTGTCTCTGCCTTTAAAACATGCGTTCTCTATGGTGGTGAGAGGAGGTGCAAAAGAAGTGCCAAGGTGAATGAATAAAGATCAAGAAATTGTAAAATGCAAAAAAAAAAAAGCGGAACGGTTCAGTCACATAGTCCCCAACAAGAAAGACTTTGTTACTGCAGTTCGTTCAAAGTAAACTTGAATAGGAAAAGAAGTGTAGAAAGGAAAAAAAAGCTTCTTGGTTGGGAAAAAAAATCTCAGAGAGTGGTTTGGCTGCATCACAGCGTCATGGTTCAGAGCTGCTGCATCGTAGTTCGTGCAGCCAAGGTGATGTGCAAGCTCTGGTCAGAGAGAGAGAAAAACAAGATGTTACTTGTACTGTCTTCCAGCGGTCCCCCACCCAGCCACCCAGAAGGTTATAAGCAGTTGCTAGATTTTGGTCCCATTGCTAGCACTGGTGTCGTGCAGTTCAGATTTCTATTTGTGCAGTCAGCAGTCCGTTAGACTGTGGACCCGTGTTTCCATGAGAGCTGGCGGAGACCTGTGAAGACCTGACTTGATCAGAGGTTGAACACATGTTCTTTATTTCGATTTGGAAGGAGGAATCATAGTGGCCCGGTAGAAAGGGAAGCGACTCTTTTGAAAGGTGTGTGTTAACAAACGGGATGCTCTTTCTTCCTGGTTCCTCAAATCTCCTGCCCTTCTTTCGCAGGCCTCATATCAAGACCATCTTTCAGAGCATCGCGGCCAAAGTAGGCACCGGGGAACCCTGTTGTGACTGGGTAAGTCCCGTGGGCCGTTCCACGTCTATCTGGGGTGGTGGTGGTGGTCTTGCCCCTTTGAAGGATGGGGAGCAAGATGGACACCTGTGTTCGTTCTGGGCCTTTCTCCTGGCTTTTAAAAGTCACCCCTTCATTTGTAGTACAGACTTTGTTCCTGCCTTAGAGTAGGAAGCTGTCTTTTGGTGCCTTGGGTTCTTTCAAGGAGAGAAAGGCAGGGTGAAATATTTAAAATGAATCAATGTTTTACTGAAGCTTGCCCCGGGATCCATTCCTTCGTCCCCCCCCCCATGTCCGGCAGGTAGGAGATGAAGGGTCCGGCCATTTCGTGAAGATGGTGCACAATGGGATTGAGTACGGGGACATGCAGCTGATCTGCGAGGCCTACCACCTCATGAAGGACGTGTTGGACATGGACCATGACGAAATGGCCAAGGTAGGTGGAAAAAACAAGCTAGCCTCGCCCACTTAATGCCGGTGGGTGAAATCAATGATTTTGGGTGTTTGATCACATCCGTCAAATACAGTGAGAGCCTCTTTGCTGAACGAGGTCGTTGCTGCCATCCTTCGGCATGATCCCAAAGGTGGGAACAGTAACGGTGAGTGAAATTGGCCTGCGGTCCCAGAGTTTTTGGAGTTTCCAACGTGAAGGGGCATTCCTATCTCTTGCCTTTGAGGGTCTTTGGAGCAGCATTTCTTAGCTTGGTCCCTTCCAGATAGTTTAGACTATCCTTCTTACCATCATCGTCACTGTGTGCCATCAGCTCAATGTTGACTTTTACTGACCCTTTCCAGGGTGTTCTTGGTGGAGCATACCTAGAAGGGATTCCCTTTCCCTTCTCCCAAGGGGTGGGTGGGTGAGTGGGATTCCCAGGGCCTGATAAACATTCCAGGCCAAAATCGTTGAACCCCCGGCCCTCTCTACGTGGCGCGGGCTGCATTTCCCACCCTCTCCCTCCCTCCTGCCCAGGTCTTTGAGGAATGGAACAAGACGGAACTGGACTCCTTCCTGATAGAGATCACGGCCAACATCTTGAAGTACCGGGACGCCGATGGCAAGCATCTGCTCCCCAAAATCCGGGACAGCGCCGGCCAGAAGGGCACCGGGAAGTGGACGGCCATCTCGGCCCTGGAGTACGGGGTTCCTGTCACTCTCATTGGTTAGTGGCCCCTGAGCGTGTGGGTCAGCCCTTTTTGTGTGTGCATCCCTCCCTCTCTCCGGCATGAGGTGGCCTTGGAACAGGCTTCGTTTCTGGCCTCCAGGTTTTCCTTTTCCCTTTCAGAAGGGGAGGCCATGCCCCCAGTCATCCACCTTAGGTAAACCATCCTGCTTTGTCTTGAGATATGAGGTGTGGCTAGCAGGAGGACGGCATTGGCTGGCCTTTCCACGGATCCCTCCCTCATCACCATGACTTGCAGTTTCTTGGACTGAAAAAGCAGAGTCATTCCTCCTCTCCTGTCAACAAAGCAGCAGGAAATCACTGGGATGCAAAGAGGGAAAGTTTTGTGAATGGAGGAGCAGGGCGTGGGCGTGACCACAAGGTCCCTACAAGCAGTTCTGTGACTCAGAGGCCTTCCTTCTCCTCTGTTTCTCTTCTCCCTCCTGCCTGCTCCATATAACTCTTAACTGGCCTGCCTGTTCTTCGTTTCATGCCATGGCTTGTCCTTGCTTGCAGTCCCGTCCTGAGCACGTTAGGCCCATCCCTCTGTGTGTACGGTGGGGCTTATTCTACTGTAACAACATTTGGCATATTCCAAGAAATCTCTGCACGTAGGGCCTCGAGAGGAAAAGACATGTAGTAAATTCTAAATTATGCAGGTTCGGTGTTTCCACGTCTGTTCCAGTCTTGTCGTTTTGACATGACATCAAGTCGCCTCCAACTTATGTTAACCCCGTGAATGAGGAATCTCCAAAATGTTCTCTCCTGCAAATCTGAGCTTGTGGCTTCCTTTAAGGAGTTGGTCTTTCTCATATTGGATCTTCCTGTTTTCCTGCTGGCTTCAGCTTTTCCCAGCTTGCGCCCGTCTTCTTATACGACATCTTGGACATTTTTGTGGGGGTAATTCCAGGTTCCTTCAAAAAGTGATTTTTAGTTATTGTGAGTTGCCCAATAACCTATAGCTTCCTTTCTGTTTGCGTAGCAAAGGGTTGACCCTTCTTGTCATCAGAGTGACTTAAGTTTGATTTTTTTTTCCTGCCAAGGGGAAGCTGTCTTTGCCCGGTGCTTGTCTTCCCTTAAAGACGAACGAGTACAGGCAAGCAAGGTGCTGAATGGACCCAAAGCGAGCAAGTTCAGCGGAAATAAAACAGCATTTCTGGAGGACATTCGCAAAGTGAGTTACGGCTTCGGGTGTACAGAACTTACCATTTTTGTGTTCACGTCTTCTTCAGGATGGAACCAACAAAGATGTCCATTGCTTCCTTGAAGCCCAGGTTGTAAAGCTGCATTTTTGGAGTTGACAGGAGAAATGCACATTCTCCGTCGTCTCATCCTTTTCAGCAAGCGCGAAAAGTTGCTCTTTTTTTTGCAAGAGTTTGCACGTGGGTGAGAATGCCTTGCACAAGTGATCACCCACTTTGGGGCAGAATTGTGCGGTTTGTACACTTTAAGCAATTGGGCCAAGCAAAGTCGACTGCTGGTTCAATTAAGTATTTGGAAGCCGTAGAAGGTCGTTTGCATCTTTCTTAAGACGTGGCAGTCCTTTTGTGTGCTTGATATGCAGTTGAGTAGTTTCTCAAGGGAAAGAACTTTTTGACGTTTTGTTGGTATGTCTGGATGTTTTTCTAAATGCAGATTCCTGGTGTCCTTTGCAGGCCCTCTATGCTTCCAAGATCATTTCCTATGCGCAAGGCTTCATGTTATTCCGTCAGGCCGCCAAAGAGTTTGGCTGGACACTGAATTACGGCTCCATCGCCCTGATGTGGCGGGGTGGCTGCATCATCCGAAGGTGAGCGGGAGAGAAGAATCTGAAGACAGTGGGACAATTTTCTCTGCTTCGAGCCCAAAACTTACCAAGCTGCAGCTGGGGCTTTGTGCAGAGTGTAGGTCTCATTGTGTGCAGAAAATAACATGGCAGGATATAGTAGAGCGTGCACAATTCAGCTTTGCAAGAATTGATGCTACAAATCTTTCATTTTTCTTTCAAGGTTTTAGTCCATGGATATTTTAAAATTAACTGCATTTATACATATGGAATTTTAAAATGTCCAAAAAGCTTTGTCCTGCTAAATGTTCTGGATTTCTGCTTTGACCGTGCTAACACCAGTGTAACAGTGGGGATTACAGGAGTTGTAGTCGAAAATGTTGCCAGGGGCTCCCGACTTTGAGTCCCCAGATGTTCTTGGAGTACAACTCCCAGAAATCTTGGCCAACACAGCGGGTGGGGAAGGCTTCTGGGAGTTGTAGTCCAGTGACCCCCTAGGGACCCAAGATTGGGAAGCCCTGATTTAGTGGGTTAGAGATTCCTTAGAACTGGTATGTAAGTCATTGCATCACGTAAATTTGGGACACCAACTGACCGCATACTTATGTGATGGCAAGCCCTATTAGAGCTCCCAACGACTTAATTTGTATGTCCTCCGAATAGCGTGTTTCTGGGCAAAATCAAAGAAGCGTTTGACCGAAATCCTGACCTCCAGAACCTACTCCTGGATAACTTTTTTAAGACAGCTGTGGAGAACTGTCAGGTACGTAATCCAAAGGGAAGCAATGAGGTATGTATTTATGGAGTGAGCTGAATGCCGGTCCTTATGTAGCAGAGTTAGTATCTTCTCTGTACGAGACACAAGAGATACCAGATGTCTTTGAAGAATCCCATATTTGCAGTAGTATAAAAAGAGAGTAAATAATAATAATATTAATAAAAGATGGTTGAAAATGCTCAGAAGCAGCTTCGGGAAGACTAGACACTCTCAGGAGCTCTGAAGTACTTATTCAAGGGGAGAATGGAAATCTGTGTGGGAGGAAGATTGGAATGGAGCCTCTTATACAAGAGCAGTCCACAACCTATAATTTATATTTTAAATAAATAAACACATAAAGACCCCCCTCCCCTGTGCATCCCGTTTGTGGATTCAGAAGCTGATAAAGCTGGATTGCATACCGAGGGCTGTTTTTCCCCGAAGATGTAAATGTACCTACAGAACACTGCAGTCAAGCTCCAAAGGATCAGGGCTTCATTCAGGAACGTGTTTAAAAGGTTGGCTTAGTTAAGTATAACTAATAAATAGGAAATCGTCAGACCTGTTATAAGGTCACGTGAGGTCCAGGAAGTGGCATTTGGCTGTCTGCAGCGTTTTTAAATGTTTATTTTCTGGCCCTCCCCGGAAGGAGTCGTGGCGACGTGCCATCAGCACTGGCGTACAGCTGGGGATCCCGATGCCATGCTTTACCACGGCGCTCTCTTTCTACGATGGGTACAGACATGGGACCCTCCCAGCGAACCTGATTCAGGTAAGCAAATGTGCGACAACGAGGGTGGATTTGAAACTTATCCTGCTTAGCAGAGCAGCTGTTCTCAGGGGTGGTCTCACGTGTTATCTAACTTAAATCTGATTATATTTTATGGCCTGTTGACTTTTATGCTAGCGTGCTGTAGTGGCCTGGGAGGATTGCCACTGAACTGTGAAACTCACTGGTTGAACTTAAGCACCTTCTAGATGAATAAGTATTATTTTGGACCGGGCTTTATGGATTACAGCATCTTCAACGGGTTGCAGTCTAAAAAAGCTAGTGGAGAAGTTTGTTGCTAGAAAAATAATGTTTGAAGAGACCATGAAAAGTTTAAAAACAGGCCAAACCAGAGAGTCTGCCACAAGCTTACCCCTCCTTAGGAGTGTCATTCAGTGATGATGTAATATATATGCAATTTCTTGTAGGCTCAACGGGATTATTTTGGTGCCCATACGTACGAACTGGTGTCGAAACCGGGCGAATTCATTCATACCAACTGGACCGGGCACGGGGGCTCTGTCTCCTCTTCCGCGTATAACGCCTAGATTAAAGAAGATCAAACCCAAAAGTCAACCTACTGTAGAGCTGTAACATTCCTTCTCTGCTGGCTGTTGGATCTGTATAATGAGCACTTTTCCTAGAAATAAATGTTAGGGATTGCTGTTGTTTTTTTGTAAAGAAATTGTTACGTCTTGTAAAAGAGCAAATATTAAACGAACAAAAAAAAATCTTGAGAAAATGAATTAATTTCAAAAACATAACATTTTCACTGGTTCTATAAGTTTCAAATATTTGACATTTTCGCTAGTTTTCAGTTGTGGGGTGTTTCAATGCATTTACCAAAGGCTATTGCAGGCTGTTTGAAAAGAACAAGACATCATTACTCATTGAACACCTAATGGCTTCCTAGTGTGGTGGGCCTTACTCTCAGGAAGGGCTATTTAGCTTGGAAAATTAATGATATAAAGGGACAGAATAAGTGCTTTTTTTAAAAGAAAAAAAATCTGAACAGACATATTTTGACCATTTCAGACAGTAGATAAATGGGGGCATCTAGTGGCTAGAAGAGGTATTTCATTGTCAGTCTGGTGTACTTTTGAATCATAGCAAGTGCGCAGAGCTGAATAAAAATTGGTTCTCAAAAAGAGACTGAAATATTTAATAATATTTTATTGACTTGACATGCTTTGTGCAGGCTTAATCCCAAGACATAAGAACACACACGTACATATAGATAATATATTAAATTATATATAATACAATTTAAATCTATTTATATTTAAATTATATTATGTATAATTTCATATACGATATATATGTATGTGTGTGTGTTCTTATGTCTTGGGATTATGTATAAGATAAAAATATGCAATTCTCAATATTTGACATAGCCATTAGGAGATTTAGGAGTAGCTTGAATGGGTTCCTTGATAATTGCAAATGCTTCTAGAATACCTTTTGAAACATCCTTTTTTCCAAAGTGGCATACAAAGGAGGTTTCTATTTTTTAAAAAATATATATATTAAAACTAGATATGGCAAAATTGGTTTGTGGAGTGGGCTGGAAATGATTTAAAAATAGTATTTTTATAGTGATTTATCACTTTTCCACTGAGTCTGGGGATCAATGGGGTGTAAATCAATTAAACAATCAAGCTTAACACAGGCAGGTCAATAAATTTCAAGATTGAGCTTTATTCCTAATTAAGAGACAATGGTAGAGTCTTGTGTGAGGATTTTGTATCTGTGTGAAACGTCTGGGAGCAATTTATCTTTATATTAATCGTGATAAATATATTAATAAATGGGCAAAATTGAGGTGGGAAAGGAACAGAGTGGCAAAAACGGACCAAAAGGCATCATGAGTGAAATGTAGTTTTTAATTTTATGGATGTTTCTTTGTTTATATGGATGGAATTTTATTTATTTATTAAAAATATTTTTGCCCCTCCTTGGCCTCCCTGTCAATAAAGGTTCTCAGGGGAAAAAAACCCAAAGGAAAATCATCAAGATACAATAAAATTAAAATATTTTAAAAGCAAAAACACCACAGACAAACGAGGTGAGGGTTATTTCCCTGAGAGGGAAAAGGGTCTCTTTCCTCCCCTCAGCGTCGGGCGGGGGAAGGAGAAAAAGGACCACGCCCCTTCTCTTTTCCCTTTCTCCGGATTGGCCGCCTTCTTCTCGCCCGCCCTCTTTCCCGCCTTAGCCCCGCCCACCGCGCCAGGAGGGTCACCATGACGTCGCCGCTGCCGCGGAGAAGCGGGAAATTTGGCCGCCATTTTCTCGCCTCAGGGGAAAAAGAGCCGCCATGGAGGAGGCCGGGCCGAAGGAGACCTTCGACGACACGCAGGTCAGGCGGGAGGTCCGGAGACCCCCGGGAGGGGCGGGGAGATTCTAAAATAAAATGAAAAAATAAATAAAAGCTTTTATTGAACGCCTTCCCTGAGAGAGAGAGGGGGGAAAACACACCTCTAGTTTGAAACCGTTTGCCTCAGAAGGCAGTGTGTGTCCTCTGGGCATGGGCAGAGTGCTTCCCCCCCATGAGGTATCTGCATATCCAGGAGGACCGCGGGATTTTGTAAATATATTTTGTAAATACATCCTGGAAATATGTATTTACATGGTTTATACAGTACGTATTTCTCTCTGTGTGTGTTTTGATCTAGTATTGTCAGGCAGCAGAAAAGTAGATCAGCGGATAGCGGGATCCCTGCTGTCGATGTTTTCTTTTTTTTGCCTGAGAGGGAGTCGTGCGGAAAGGCAAAAGCACATTATTTTTTAAGACTTACAGATTTATTTCAGAGGCAGTTTTCTGGGTTAATCCGCCAGCGAGGCCCTCTTTTTGGGTACTATTTATTTATTTATTTATTTATTTATACCCCGCCTATCTAGTCATTTCGACCACTGTAGGCGGCTTTATATTTTTAGCTCAGTCGTTTGTCTGAAAAGACGGGCGTGAACGCCTCCCTCTGAGTACGTGCAGAGTTCCTTTTCCTTGGCCGAGGAGAGTAGGGTCTCAAGAACAAGAAGAAGGGAACAAAAATAATTCCTTTGTTTAGTAACAAAATACTGTATTTGTTTAATGGTAGACGATGGAAAACATCCAGGCAGGGTTCAGTGAAAGATACAATGAAGATACATCTATTTATATCTATTTAAGAGGGACAAAAAAACAGAGGGGGCAAAAACAGTGTACAGTATCAGTGGGGAAAAAATACAGTAGGAAATACATGTAATGACTTTCTGGGAAAAATATGAGGCTATAAAGCAACAATTAGACCATTAAAACTCACTCAGTGCTCCAGACCTGCAGGGCTGAGATTAAAAATGATTTGTCATTATTTATTTAAAATATTTGTTACCCTGCTTTTCTCCTGAAGAAGTGGACCCAAGGCTATTTGCATCACTCAAAGACAACAGGAGACCCTGATAATAGTTCCTCTGCAATATTGAAAAGGGTCAAACCAACTAGAAAAAGTAACAACCAAACTTCCAGTGCCAAAAAGTGTATATGACTAAACGCTACACTTCATCTTCTAAAAACGTACACTCTGATCTCATTAAAAGCTCAGTGTGACCTGTAGTTCTGAAGTGGTGGTGGTGATGATGATGATGATAATAATTACTACTAATTATAGTAGTAATTATAATAGTGCTACTAGTACTACTGTTTTTCCCCAAGGTGTAAGAGAGAGGACCTGAGCATGTGCAGAGTGCCTTTCCTTTGTTCATGATCCCTGCCTTTTAGAGGGTGTCTGGAGCCTTTTGTTTGCTAGTGGGAGGATTAACAGTTTTTTTCTCAAACACTGGTGGTGGGTGAGAGCAAAACAATAAACACAGTCCTTAAAGACTTAGAATCAGTGAATGCCAATTGTATTTCTGCCCTTTAACTTGTTATGTACTTTGATGTATGTTTTTAGGGGCCAGCAGTCCACAGAAGTGTATATGCCGTGTATATATACCGTGTTTCCCCGAAAATAAGATGGGGTCTTATATTAATTTTTGCTCCAAAAACGCATTACGACTTATTTTCAGGGGATGTTTTATTTTTTTCATGTACAACAATCTACATTTTTTCAAATACAGTCATGTTATCTTCTGGTTGCTGCCCAAGGGTGGAGGGCAGGGTTTCACAATTGGGGCTTATTTTGGGGGTAGGCCTTATATTATGAGCATTCTCAAAAATCATACTAGGGCTTATTATCAAGTTAGGTCTTATTTTCGGGAAAACGGGGTATGGTTAGCATTCAGTGTGCTGCAAAATTCTTTGTTACTGTTTTTAAGTAAACTATTTGTATTAAATGTGTTGAGTCTTTAGTGACCGTTTGGAGTATCCATGGGATTTTTTTTCCTGAAGGGGTGTGCAAAAGTACCACATTTCCTGTAAACTGTTTTAAGGACTTCTGGCTAGCTTCTGTCTCCCCCACAAATTTAGTCAGCTCGTGTTTCGGAGTAAGAAGCAAGTTGCAGTTCTTTGTCCAGGGTTAAGGACAAGTTAGACTTCATAATCTAGGCACAGTTAAAAACATGGCTTCTGCTTGTGGTTTGCAGCTGATTAACGAACCACGGTGCTATTCCTATCCTCTGAAAATGCCGGCCACAGAAACTGGCGAAACGTTAGGAAGAACAACCTTCAGAATACGGCCAAAGAGCCCAAAAAACCCACAACCATTAGATCCCAGCCGTGAAAGCCTTCGCGAATACAAACCACGGTTTGTTTGAGAGAATGAGTTCAGCCCAACCCAGAATTCAATTAAACAAATTCAAACCTAGTTTAAGGTCATATACGTAAACACTTCATATGATCCTCCAGTGGACCAACAACTCAAATGCAGCTTGTTTCATATTACGACTTATTCATAGGTGTAAAAATTAGGTTTGCTAAGCGGTCAAATGGGCCTTAGTGTTTGCTTTGAAGAATTATAGGTTGTGTTGCATAGGTATGGGGTAGTTCATATGAGAGTTAAGGTTTATACAAAGTGCATTGTGTGATGTTTTCTTGTTTTCCCAGAGGTTGAGAGCAGCTGTCCATTATACTGTTGCTTGTCTCTGTGAAGACGTTGCCCAAGACAAAGAAACACAGTTCAGTAAACAAGCCATTGCAGCTATTTCTGAGATCACCTTCAGACAGTGTGGTATGGCAAATATTTTATGCATATCTATATTTGTCTGTAGGAGTTAATCAGTGCTTTTTTAAAAATAGAACCGGAATTAGAGATGTATAGAACTGATTTAATGACTCGTTTTAATTTGCCTAGCGCTAGAGGGAGTGTGCAAGACAGGTTCTGAAAAAAACTATTAAATGACAGTGCTGCTGTTCTGCAAAGACAGGGAAAAATGTGGCTTTAAGCATCTTTTTGTTTGGTTGTTTCTAGCGCTTAGAGGTATCGTGTACCCATGCAAGCTGTCACATCCCAGCCATGATGGTAGCCTTCAGTAAGAAAATATAGTCCTCTGGAAGGTGAAGTTTGGAAAAGGATGGACAATGATTGAAATTAGGTCAGAAATCAGAGCAGGTTTGACTTGCAAATGAGTAGACAAACCAAGCTTTAACATTATAGTCCTTTCTTTACCCGTTATATTGGAAGAAACCTCTACTCTTTTCATTGGACCTGTTTCTAGGAAAATGGGCATGGGGTTGCAGGCTAAATTCCAGAAACGAAAAGATACTGGAAAAACAGTTCAGCACATCTGATGTGTACTTGGTGAAAGACGTGGCTTATGCAGGTATAACGTTTTATACGTTCATTCAGGGAGTACCATATAGTGAGGTAGACAATCAGAGACCCAATGATGTCTTTATGGATTTGCAACCCAATGTTTAACCCATAGGAGTGGGACTCTTTGAAAGAAAAAGTACTCTAGCCTGCAAATAGACATAGCATCGGGAATGAGATTTTTTTATGCAGAGTTTTTTTTTTAAAAATATTCAGGGTGCCTTACGGCTTAGCAATAGAAATTCACCTTGCTTTCTGATTTTGAGATAGAAAAATGATTGAGGTGTCTTTTTTACCTTTTCCCCCAGAAATGTTTGCGAAAGACCTTGAAATGTTTGCAAGGTAAGTACTATGGCAAGGTGCAGGACTAAAAAGAAGACACTCTCTATCTAGCAAATATATGTATAGCCAAAGGAAAGTTTTGTCCCTTACTCTTCCTAGCTTTCCTAGAAGCCAGCAAATGTTCATTTTAGAATAACAGCTTTGATCCTCTGTTATGTACAAGAGTTCCATTATTTTGTAGTTTGAATACAAATTATTTATTCAAGACAGGATTTTACACCTCCCAATCTTCTGATTTTGTGGTTGGAAACCTGGCTCAAAAACTGACTGAATACTTCCTAAATTTGAGTGGCTTTTAAGGACCTTCGATTCTTGAGCAGCTTTTCCTTCCTGCTATTTAGTCTAAGAATCACTCTGGAAGCACAAAGAGGTACCTACAAAGCGCAGAGGGAAAGTAAATTTCCTAGGGGATAATGATGCCTTTGTGCTGAGTTCTGCCTCCCACAAGCAGCCTTGTGGGTGGATTGTGCTAGGTGTAGTGTAATTGCATGCAGGTGTATGCATAAACCACAGCACAGAGCAGTCAGAAGATCTTTTTGTTTGCAGCTTGTTAGGCACAAATAAAGGCTCTTCGAGAGTAACTAAGAGGTTGTTTGTTGGCAGCTTCTCAGAGGAGGCTGTTGTGTTGTATTGTCTTTACATGGGATGCCCAACCTCCCACCACCGCCATCTTACCACAGGAGAGACAGAGGCAGGACAGAGTGATTTCTGGCATATTATTCCATGAAATGGTCTTGACTGCTAGAGGCTGGAAACTTTCCCATTCGTACCACGGTCCCGTGGTCTGCGCCTGTTCATTTCTCACAGCTGCTTACTTGCTTGCTGTGCTCATGACTGGGTCATTGGTCTGAATGGGTCTCCTTCTTGTTAGGAAATATGCAACTTTCCCATTCGTACCACGGTCCCGTGGCCTGCGCCTGTTCATCTCTCACAGCTGCTTGCTTGCTGTGCCCATGACTGAGTCATTGGTCTGAATGGGTCTCCTACTTGTTAGGAAATATGGCCATGCCAGTGACTCATGGAGAAACCTAACGGAAGAAACAGCCAGTGTCTGCCTCCAGGCACCTTTAAAAGAGGGTGTAGTCCTTGATAGGTTCATGGTCCTTTCAGTTTTAACTATTCACACTGTGTGACATGGCCCTCTGGTATCAACTGTGGTAACCGTGCAGCTTGACCTGTTTCGTCTGAGCTAGCCTAGTGTTTCTATTGGGGCAAAACCCATTCAGTATCTGTATTTGACTGTAAAAGTGTAGTCTACTGCTGTATTAACTGGTTGTCTCTTTGATACCTTTATTCATGCAGTTTGTTGCACCACATCTTTGAAGAGTGTGAGCTGAGAAACTGGCCCATTAACTAACTAACTGGAAGCATGTTTAGCTCCAGTGTGCTGTCTTAGCATCCCTCTGGGTGGTACCCTAGATAACTACGACTTGAGGCAAAGGGAGCCATAGAGTCTCACTGATGTATGCTTGAGCTGGGAGTTGTTGCAATCTTCTCTCGAAACTTGCTAATGACACTTCAGGGCTTCTGTGACTCTTTACCCATGCCTTCGCTTTTGGAGCAGTAGGGCCATGGTATCAGCAGGGAATCCCTCCCGTCCCCTTGCAGATATCAGAAAATGTGGATGTATCAAACACTATACGTACATTGGATGCTCTATGACTCCCTTTAGAGTTCTGTTACCTATAAATGCATATTTCTGTTTTTTTAAAAATTTAGTGCTTTCAGGGAGTGGATGAGTAAATCAGCAGATACTGATCCCGTGGATAAGGAAGTACTTCTGTGTTCCTGGTGCTATTTTCTTAAGTAGCATCCTCTTTTTCAGATTCCTTTTAGTGCACTGACTGTCCTGCTCATAATAATTCGTTATTTAAGGACATCAACAATGGGGGACCATCTAGCCGAGCATCTCACTTCCCAGCTGCTCACATTTAAAGGCTCACCCTCCCTTTTTTCTCATCTTAGTTGCACATGTTTTAGCTCTAGCAGCTGCCTGCTTGCTAGTACGTTCCTTCCTCTGGGTCATGGGAGGTCAATTTACTTGTTACAAATTACAGTTCTAAATCAGCGGCTTTACATAATGGGCCACCGTGTTAATGCATAAATCAAGAGGGACTTCAGTGACTCAGAAAGCACCTGGTCTGTTTTGACAAGCGACTGAACATTTTCATCCACCAGTTTTTGCTAGTTTGTTTTTGCTGAACGAAACCCTTGCCCATTGCCTCTTGGAAGATTCACTTTACCACAACTTTCTATCTTAAGTAGCCTTGAAAAGCAGAAAGAAGATGCTGTAGCAGCGTATGTTTCTTTGTTGAATTAAAATGAAACCCAAGATGCTTTGACTCAGTCTTTGACTCGTCAACAAAATTAGAAGAGTAATAAATATTTTCCAACGCCCAGTTTAAAGAGGCTTTCTTGAATGTAAAGCAGAAAACAGTAAAGGAATTAATCCGTCTAGACTTAGTCACTTTCGCAACTGCTCATACATAGTCTAATAAGAACGTACACATCATTTAAGGTATAGCAAACATTTGTAAATGACAAATGTGGGTAATATACATTTCCTTCTTCATACAGGCATGCAAAACGGAGTACTATTAACGTTGAAGACGTGAAGCTTTTGGCAAGGAGGAGTAGCTCACTGGTGAGATGGAGCCCTTGCTTTGCTGAATCTTTTTGCAATTTCTTCCCAAGGGACCTTTTGTAAATGCATTAGTACCTCTTGCTGACAGAACAACACTTTTCCTTGTTCCTTATTGTCAGCCTTGGAAGTCTTTTCCATTTTTCTCTTTCTTCCTTTGTACTCTTGTCATCTTCATCTGAAATGTAGTGAGACAGACTGGATTATTACAGAAGTAGTACTATTTCTAGCTCTGAGAGAATAGCTATCAATCTGGGCAAAGGTATGTAAAAAAAGCAAATGTATCCTCAGGACATGCGTACTTGCACAGGTCTCTTAAGTGCGCACTTGATTACGTCCAAAACTAGAAGTTACAGTGATGCCCCACTTGAAGACAATAATCCGTTCCAGCAAAATCGCTGTACAGCGAAATCGTCGTCAAGCGAAAAAAAACCCCATTGAAATGCATTGAAAACTGGTCAGTGAGTTCCAATGGGGGAAATACCTGATTATGCAGCGAAGATCCTCCATAGGGTGGCCATGTTGCGATGCCTGTAAAGCGAAGAATCGGTGCTGAAAACAGTGGGGAGCCATTTTGTGACCCGCCGATCAACTGTTTCAAATGTCGTCTAGCGAAGAAATGGTTCCCGAAGGGTGGGGAGCCATTTTGCGACCCGCCAATCAACTGTTTCTAATGTCTAGCGAAGAAACAGTTCCCGAAGGAGGGAACTATTCATCGTGAAGCGAAAAAAACCCATATAAACATTTTGTGATCGCTCTAGCGATCACAAAAAACCCATCGTAAAGTGATTTTGTTGTCAAACAGGGTAACCGTCTAGCGAGGCAGCACTGTACTTGAAAACAGCCTCCTCCAGGTAGCGTTAGTTTTCAGGACCGACTAGCTACAACTGTTGTTAAGGATGTAGTGAAAGTAGCCCTACTTCTCCTGATCTTTTTCTTTCTTAAGATTTAGCAATACAAATGCAGAACACATTTTGTCTTCTTTCAAATTCCTCTCTGCTTTGGTGGTTGTTACTCATAATATTCCTTTTTATATTTTTGTTTTATGGTAAATTATCAAAGGGGCAGTGGAACAAAAGACGATGCAGGCAGCTGTTTTCAGTGTGCGGGGAGAGAAAGACAGCTTTCAGTAATATTGAGAGGCGAGAGGGTAAAGTTTTGAAGTCGATTCACAAACTGTTTTGCAGGTATACCAGAGACCTTGTGAGTTAAATGCTGCAACTTTAACAGCATAGGATTAGGTGGGATCCTATTGCTTACATACAGTGGTGTTAAGTACAATATAAAATCACAGCAGTGAATTGCTGCTAGTTAAGGATTTAGGACTTGTGTACAGTGGTGCCTCGCTTAAAGATTACCTCGTTAAACGATGAAACTGCTTTACGATGAAGTGTTGCTATCGCAAAACAGTGTTCCTATGGGGAAAAATTGCTTAACGATGATTGGTTCCCTGCTTCGGGAATCGATTTTTCATTAGACGATGATTTTAAAACAGCTGATCAGCGGCTCTAAAATGGCCACCCACTGTGCAAAATGGCTCCCCACTGTGCTTTAGGACGGATTCCTCGCTTTATAGGCACCGGAAAATGGCCGCTCTATAGAGTATCTTCGCAAAACGAGCAGGTATTTCGCCCATTGGAACACATTGAACCGGTTTTCGATGCATTTCAATGGGTTTTAAAATTTCGCTTGATGAGGATTTCGCTTAACAGCGATTTAAACGAAATGAATTATCCTCGTCAAGCGAGGCACCACTGTACTTTTGTCATGCACCAGTTGTGTGGCTTGGCAGGCACTGAGGAATGCAAGCCTTAACTTTTAATGAGTGGCAATTTGCCCTATGATTTCTGTTGCTACCCTTAGCATTGGATCCTGACCTTTATCAGTTATTTACAGCCTGTCCTGTAACAAAAGTTCTGCAGAGTTTCTCATCTTCAAATACAAAGTGTTTGTGCTAATTTTAGCCTTATCTGGGCAAGTGTCTCTCCTGGTGAAGTAGCTGACTCTTTCAGAAAGGCTGGTGGGAGGAGCGGGAGCGGCAGGTGGCCAAGGGTGGGGCTGAGTGGATGTGTCCTTCAACTAACAGCTGCAGCATGGCTTAATTGAACATGGAGCGTCTTGTCAGGAAGATTGAGATGGTTGCGCCCGTCTGCACTGGGAGAGTGCAGCTGTGCTAATTAATAGCCCCTTGTTTATGCTCAGTTTTAATTCCCGTTGTTCTAATCCAGGAGTTAGGGAAGAACAACTGAGTTGAAGCAAAAGGCCTGGAGGCGACTTTGGAATCTGCCATGTACAGTCAATTATCTGTGTGCTGACATGGAGTAAGAGCAATAATAAAAGACTTAAAACACAGTGCTGTACATGTCTTATCAGAAGCAAATCCTGCTGACAGTTGCGGGATGTACTTCTGGATACATCTGTAGGACAGGTTTTGGGAATATCTGGCTTTCCAGGTTTTTCCTGGGCAGCCTGCGACTCTCCTCACTCTTTCCCATGGGCTGTGCTAGCTCAGGCTGAGAGAGATGCAGTTGCATAGCCTTCTGCTGATATTGGATGGCAGATCCAGGATACTAGAATTTTATTCTAGTTTCCATAGGTAAGGTGGTAACAGATGGGAGCCCTCTCTGTGTTGAACTGCAGCTTCTCTCCATTAGCATAACTAGTGGTAGAGGATGATTGGAGAAGCAGGTCCAGCAATTAAGGCCTATAATTTCTCCAACTCTGGCTCTAATTAGCAACTTTTCATGAAGTTCCATTGTATATTGATGCCATTTACTTGTACTTGCCCATAGACTATTTTTATTGCTTTTCATAAGGAACATAAAATGTGACCAGCTTTTTATACTCCTTATTAAAGATCAGTTAGATACATATTGTGAGGGTTCGTTTGTAGGGGCTTCAGTCACACCAAATAAAGTATGAGGCTGTTTAAACGTAACAACATTGTCTTCATTTATTAAACCAGCAACATTAACAGGAATGTCTGTGTGTGTAGGTTCTAAAGTCTCTTGCTGTCTAAAACGTGACTGCAAGGGTGTCCAAACGTTACTAGCAAAAGGGTTCAATTCGTCAAACTCCCATGGTCCTGATAACACCTTCTCAGGAACCTCTGGGTCTCCGTCGACGCCCTCCGATGCTAGTAAGGGTAGGGTTTCCTCTTCTCCGGTCCAACCCCAGAGTGGAGATCCCTCTCTCGGACTGGCCAGCCAAGGTCCAGGAAGACTCCCATCTTCTGGAGTTCGGAAAGACGCCATGATTTCTTGGCTTCAATTTCTCAAGCTACTGCTTCTCGTTCCTCTCTCAGACGGCGGTGTCACTCTTTAGCCTCTGTCTCTCCCCAGTAAGAGGGACGAGGCTGTTGTCCCTGACGCCTCTGCCGTTCAGCCTCCTCATGAGGCATCTTCACCTGTTCCCACTTCCCCGTCCAGGGATCTTGCACCCCGACTTTCTCCCAACCACCCGGGATGTCATCCCGCCTCCCTCTTATATCTCCTACCCCTGCCTCCACCAACTGTTCTCCTTTTCCCGCCAAATCCTCACCGGTTTGTACTGCCACATTTAACCCTTTCATTCCCAACACAGATTTTGGGTATCTACCCCCTGATGTTTCTGTCCCTCTCTGTTTCTAGGTTCCTCCAACTCCTTGGTGTCCACCTTCTTGTTCTCTTTCCTAGGCGGAGAAGGCGTGGGGGGGAGGTCTGAGTCTCCTTAGAATAAGATGGGAGCGACGGCACTCCTACAAATGTTTCCTGGCCCTGGCCTGGGGCTTCACACATATATAAGGCGACTTCAAAAGCAAAACAAGAACAGTAATCCTTAGTTTTCACATCCTGCAGATAAATCCAATAATAAGCAGTCATTGATGTTTTTATACAAAGGGGAATTGAAAAATAATGCAGTTAATCTGGGAACAAAATATAATAAAATTGTCAGTTGTTGCTTGACAGCCTGCCTATGAAAACTAGGCCATTTGGAACTCTCTGTAAGTGTACATGTTCTTTGTAATGTTCTTAAACTGGCTAAATGGGTGGCCCTTGGTCTCGCTGCTGCCTGATACAGCTGTCTCTGTTTCTAGCTGTGCTACATCACCCAGAAGAGTGAAGAACTGACTATAAATAACCTGGAACAGAAAGAGAAAAAGAAAAAGAAATCGGTTTCTAAGAAAGGGAGAAGCGTGTCGGAGGAGCAAGCGGAACCTGTGGGGACTGAGAATGAAGATTCCAACATGGGATGATGCCCCTCCCCCCATGTCGCCAGATCAAGATAGAGTTCTCCTTCTCTCCTTGGAGCGGTGCAGATAGGCTGTTAACATAGGATGCCAGTTCATTGCTTCCTTTACATTGGAACTCTGGTTTTCCCTGAGTAAGCACAAATAAATTTGAATACAAGTTTTGATTGCATAGAGTGGCTATAGAAAATGTGCTTTAAACATTTTGGAAAGAAAATACATAAATTTTAAAAAGAATGCCATAAGAATGTCAGTCATTTTTATCGTTTTATAGTAGGAGGTCTCTATTTTATTTAAAATATTTTTACCTCACCTTTCTGCTTAAAAGGACCCATTATTGGTTAATATTAGTCGTCATTACATTAAATATTTATTGTCTTGGCAAAAGTATGGGGGGTGTGAGACAAAACATTAAAGCATTTTGAAGACTCAAATTTTAATTTTGGTGTGAGCTTTTGTACGATCCATGAAAATTCACACCTCAAGGAGTTTTAGTATTTTAACTGCCATGATATTTTACCTTTTCCCCCCTCTTTTCAACATGCTGAGACAGTCTAACATGGCTATTTCTTTGGATATTAAATGCCATTTGCTTCAAGAGCTATCAGCCAGTTGTTCATATCTTTAGATGATACTTTCAGTGATATTTTGAAAATATTGATCCATTGCCATTGAAAATTCAGAATAATCTGCAAGCGTTTTAAAGATCCAGTAAACCTTATTTGGATTAATTTGTATCTTTGATGAAGTATGGAACATAGGATTCATGTGGACCTAACCAAACAACTTGCCAAATTGAGAGAGAAAGGAGAGAGTAGAGTTGGGGTGAACGGTTAGAAAACATGAGACAGAGTAGTTTTGGGGTGATAGCTAAAACCGGAAGTATATAACTTGGTAGAGCAGAAATTCAGCCTAGGTTCACACAACCTGCTTTTGTTGCCCAGCAGAATTTCTGATCTTGTCCTCTGGAATTTTTGACTTCCTATTTTCATGGAACAGCTTTTCTCTCCCCTTGCCTTTTGATCTTCCCATCCCTTTTAAAAGCCCTGTTCACCATGTAGCGTGGAGTTGGGTGCTTGCCTGTAGTGTGGAAATGAGTGGAAAGCTACCTAGGAACCCGTTTTCATGCAGTCCTGTTCAGTGCACGTGGGTGGTGCGTGGAATGAGCAGGTGAAGCAGTTAGGCCTGTTAACAGGGCGGAAGACCAGGAGGAGTCCCTACGACCCAGCGTGGCAGCTTTCTCAGACAGGAGAGCAAGGAAACAAAACGAAGGGAGCAGGTACAACTTCTGCTGTCGTTTCCAGCCTTGAGAATATCCTTCACAAGAATCGCTTCTCTGCTCCAGTATGTCTGGCTTGAAACTTCAGAAGAGCCTGGATGAGATTCCATCTTGTCCCGCCTCTCTTTTTGCTACGGCATTCGACCAGACGTGTCCTGGTGGACCACAAGCAGGGCCTGGGGCCAAGAGGGTCCCACCGTGTGCCATTCTTGCTTACCTCCTGGCGTTGAATGTAATATTGCCTTTGAGTCCAGAGGTTAGAGGCAGCTTTGATTAGTAACAGAACCTACCTTCATTTCTAGTTGTCCCTTTGAAGCTGGTCTAAACTAGTCACTACCCCGTTTGAAGATGGCAGACTTCCCAGATTAGTTCTGCATTGAGTCATGAAGCCTTTCCTTTTTATCTGTCCTAAATCTATGGCCACTGGACCGGCCTGAGATCTATTGTAAGAGAAGAACATCTCTCATTCCACACACACACACACCCATGTGCAATCTTATAAACTTCTGTTATTCCCCTATTGATCAAGTTTATCTCTTTCCTTTGCTCGTCACACAGCTTTTTACTGAAAGGAAGGAGCAGCTTTGTTTTTGTTAAAAGAGTCCATGCCCTGGTTCCATTCTGAAGCTGTTTTTACTAGTAATTAGGTGATTAACCTAGATGATGATTCTGTTCTCTCTGGTTGGAATGGCTGCAATTGAATTCCTCATTGGGATAGTTAAGCTATTTTATGAAGTCTGGAAATGATGTTTAAAAACCCTAAACTTAGTTTTGCTATTGTTGCAAATGCATTCATAGAAGTAATACGTCTGCTCCGAGTATATCTCGAGGCTGGTGCCCCTGATTCTCAGTAGGCTGCCTTCCTCCCCTATGCAAAGCCCACCACCATCGTGAATCATTTGTTGCAAAATCACACTATTTTGTATTCAAACTAGACTATTCATTATGGGAATAATAGCAAGGAAATGAGGTTCTGTTGAGCATTGGAGAGGGTTTGGGTCCCCCCCCCTTTTTTGCTACAGCACATAAAAATGCACACACAGCTTAAATTAACACTAAATGTACTCTAATGGCATCATTACCCAGAGGCTCTAATTAAGGGTTAAAGGCAAACTAGATGCACAATTTGGGAACTTAATTGCTCCCTTGTTCATGCGTCATTGCTTTAAGTTTGGAAAGGCGGTGGGGAGAGGGAGAAGATGACGGTGGCAGAGGGAGAGAGGGGGCCCCTTCAATAAAAACATATTGTTGAAGAGAGTAGACGTTTCCCCCTCCCAGTTTCTCCAAAAAGTGCAAAATATAACTTGCTGGCAGGTGTAGCTTGTGGCAGAACGGAACCAGATGGCCTTCCTTGTGCATCCTCAGCTCATCATCTTCCTGCTGGCGCTCCTGGCATCCTGGCCCAAAGGCGCGGCAGCAGCAGAAGCTGCTGCTCTCCCAGTTCCAGAAGGACTTATGTGGAAGCACAGCAAGGTAAGAGAGGAACAGGAGAAAAGTTGTGTGTCTCTCTCACACACAAACACACACACCACTAAACAACGCCAGGGCTTCGATTTTAAGGAACTCAGCCGTGCTGCATTTTCTGTTCTTTCTGTGGGCAACGTTTATTCTAGAAGTAATCAGAGCTTTACTAAGCGTAGTATGTCTGTCTACTCGGAGAGAAGTCCCACTGGGTTCCATGGAGCTTAATCCGACATAGTTTCGTAGGAACGGCATCTTTAGTTGATGAATTGGCCTGTGGGGGTGGGTTAAAATGTACCTGTGGGGCTGCAGAATAAAGGTATGTTATTGTGATCGAAAAGAGTGTTTAAAAATAGCTTTTCTGTTTCATCAACAGCACGATCCTATGCCTGTCTACTCCAAAGTAAATCCCACTGTTTTCAGTGAGGGTTATACCCAGGTAAGTGTGTGTGTGTGTGTGTGTGTGTGTGTGTGTGTGTGTGTGTGTGTGTGTGTGTATATAGGGTTATATATTTGTGTATATATTTCAGAGTTATTCATTGTTAATCTGTTGAAGCAAAATCAAAAAGAGTCCATGGCATCTTAAAAAACTACCCACATTAACTATACTATGACCTCTACTGACAATGAGCCTGCTAATATATACTTATTAGCCTTTAAGGTCCCAAAGGACTCTGCTTTTTTCACCCATATGCATAGCCTATTATATATGATGCCTTTAATTAAGTAGCTAAGACGTTTTCTGTTCCTAGGGATCCTATTTTCCTGAATTGACAGGAAAATCCCACAGAGAAAAGGTCTTAAAAAAAATATAAATGGTTTGCACCTACATTATTAAAACTCCGTATACCTCAAATTTTCTTAATTTAGTCCTGGAGGCTCCCCAATCTCATGTGGTCCAAAATTATGTGATGGCATGAAGTTCAAGTTAAAAGGCTGTCCTGTTGATCTTGCTTCCTAGTGTGTGTACATAGCAAGTAGGATTTTTAAGTATAAACTCATGAATTAACTTGGTTCAGATGAGACTGGACCACACGCACACCTCTGCCTGGGAAACTATTTGTTTTGCCTTGTGCTGTAGGTGGAGCAGCAGGATTCTAGGCTGGGACACTTAGAGCTTTTATATGAAATTCTCTTTATTTGAGTACTATTTTTATGAAAAAAATTCATATGTCTCTTTTTAATGGGGTTATTATGGATGAGGTGGAAACGTATATGAGAATTGTTTAAAAACTCAGGAAATCTGATACACCACGTATGAACTGAGAACATTTGTCTGGAGGGAAAAATGCAGGAATGCAGCCCATTGAGAATTAGCTCTGAGGCATTACTTGCTATTGGATCTTCATTGCATAAATCTAAGGGTTTTTTTTTTAAAAAAATCCCAATGCTTCTCATTTATCAATATAATTGAATGCTGCTATAAGTTTTCAAAATGGCCATTAAAGGAGTCATTTTAAGAGTTTTCGACTCTTGGGTGCTTGATTTACTATACTGTTCCTTGAAAAAGGTCCAAGAACCAGTACATAAAATTCACCATTAAAAAGATATTTTTCTTCCAAATTATTGGATTAGCTACAGCATGGCAGCCTGATAGTTTATTAACTAATCACCTTTGTCATTATTTTTAATTAGAGCTTTTCACTTAAAAGAAGGACTAGGGTGGAATTATTCCTAAAGGAAGTGCACAAAACGGGGGTTTTTAATGACATTTTTTAAAAGAAGGAAAAGACTGCTTTCCAATTTCATTGAGGATTACAAAAGTTCTGAAATGAAAGTCATGTTCTCCTTCCTAGTGGAAAGCTGAACATAACAGGGAATTAATTTCCTGTATCTTGACAATCCAAAGATAGAAGAACTTACCACTTATTTATTTTCCTTATGAAAGAGAGAAAAGGTCTGTTCTTTGCTGATGTGATCCACTTTGGGGACAGGGGGAGGGGCGTGTTGCTTGGTCAATGATATGTTAAACCCTTTGAAGGCACAAAATCCAAGGTTCAGTTGCCAGGATTGGCAGGCAGGATTAAGACCCATTTCTGAAAAACTTGGAGTAGCTGCTCGATAGCTGCTGTATAGACAGTATGTGGGGCAGCTGTTTGTGGATTTTATGCCTGTGTTGTAGTATTTCAGAACCCGCCTGGTAGGACCCATGGTTTCCATGCTCTTCTGTACAAGCCATGTAGATTAAAAAAACCCTTTATAAAAGGTGGAGTTAGCTGGCACCTTTCTCTTGGATGCAGTGGTTTACTGTGTGTGTAAGAGTTTTTTGAAACAACCAAGCAGCCACACCCCACAAATATTATTTAGTCACATGACTTGCACATCTTCAGTCAGAAGTCAGTTGTACAGCTGAATCACAGCATGGAAGCCTCAGGTTGAGGCCACTGATCTGTCTAGTCCAGAATTTCAGGCAGGTTTCTTTCCTATGTGGAGATGCTAGGAATTGAAAGTGGGACCTTCGGTATGCAAAGCAGATGGTCTGCCCTTTAACCTTGTGTTGTCTCCTCTGTGAGACCCGCCAAGGGGGAAAGAAAGGTAAAGTCCTGGGGGGTGATTTGAATGTCCACTCTTAGTGTGGGTCTTTTGCTTCAAGCCAGGAGGGGGACAACGTCCAGCCCTCCAGATGTTGCTCGACTAGAACTGCCAGCTTCCTCTTAACACTGCTGTTTCCTACCAGACCTGGTCATTATAGCCCACTTCTTCTCTAAACTGCCCTTTTGGCTTCTCCATGTCTGCATCCGTGCCTAATCTACTTTCACTTCACTTGCAAACAGCTCCAGGCGCTGACAGACACAAGAAAGCGCGAGAAAGTCTTCGCTTTTCTCTCTGGGTTGGTGGACTGGGCATCCCGCATGAATCAGGCACCCCTGTTGAGGCAGGAGAAGGTTGCGCCCATGCCTCGAGAAGAAAGAGCCGCCTCTCTTCAGCCCTCCGTACGGGAAAAGGCACCCTGTAAGAATTTCTTCTGGAAGACTTTCTCCTCTTGCTAACACGAAATAGTTTCTTGGGAGTGCTCCAAGAACAGTCGGTGACTACCTTTTTCCTTTGGGAGAAAGCACTGTTGTGTAATTAAATTTCTCTTTCCCTTCTGTTGATATGTGTGCATAAAAGGAACCAAATCTATATATACTCATACCGATTTCCTGACTTGTGCGTGGATTTACCTGTAGGGCATATATACTGGTGCCCCGTGTCTCTTTGTTAAGTCACATATATATACATGTATTTTATTTACTAGGAATGGAAGGTCTAAGATTTATGAGTTTCCAATAAATTACTCACAGCAGTGGGTTACATAGCATGTAATACTGTTACTCTCAAGAGGGATCTGTGTGTTTCTTGTTTTCCAAAACTTTTATTATTTATTACATTTATATCTAGCTTTTCCTCCGATAAACTCGAGGCAGCACGTGGAGTTCGCCTCCTTACCAGTCCTGGCAGCAACCTTGTGAGGTAGATCACGCTGAGAGTGGCAGTCCCAAGACTACTCAGTGAGTATTGCAGCTGAGAGCGGACTGAAACCTGGGTCTCCCAGGAGGTAAGACCACCCTGGGAGACCCACTATGCTGGTTTAGCTCCTTGCCTTCCAAGTGCACTTAAGATGACCACAGGCAAAAGAGAAGATTGAGTTTCCCAACAGTCTCCCACTTACTAAAGAACTAAGCCCACAACTGATGGAGCCATCTGACTACAAACACAGGAGTGTTTTTTTTTTTAAAATGAAACAAACTCAGAATTGATCTACTTTTATTTTATCCCACTCTTCCTATGAGGAACTTAGTGCAGTGTACTTAGGCCCTCTTTATTACCTCCACAGCAAACCTGGGAGGGAGACTGGGTGAAGAGAGTGTGACTGGGCTGTGGTTACCCAACCAGTTTCAACTCCAAGCTAGGAGAAAAACCCGGGTACCTCCCCTCCCTCCCCCAGGTGCCACACCACTGTGATCTTAAGGAAACCCAAATATGTGACAAGAAGAGCAAGGTTCTTTTCTGTACAGTACTTAGCAAATTGGTGTTGTACTTTGTATAATTCTGTTATTTGTAGGGGCCTGCTACCAGCAAATGTATCTGAACTCTCTCTAAGATGTCTCTCTCTTCCTAAGATGTCTGTAGGCTTTGACTACAGAGTTTCAAGTTTATTTGTGCTAGAAATTTGCTCTCATAACTAAAAAGAGAAGGGAAAAGCTGAGACTTTTAATACCACGAAATCCTACGCCCACATTGCTCTTCCACAGAACATCAGCATACACACAGCTCTGGCTGCATTTCGTCAACTTCAATGAAAGCACAAGTGGCTGCATTGCCTTCTTAAAATATACATCTCTCTCTCTCTCTCTCCCTGGTTCAGCTGTTTAAGAAGTTTAGAGATCCCCAAACCAAGCTTTTCCAGTTTTGCTTGTAGAAGGATATGTATGAACTTCCATATCTGTGCACAAGAAACCAAGTACTTGGCAGGGCAGTGGTAGTAAAAATCTCTGCTAGATACGGCTGTGACTTCACACTTACTTAAGAACAAAAAAATTTTCTTTGCAGCTGCTTATGAAGACCCAGAATTGCCAGTTTATGTGGGAAGGCAAAAACAAGCCAAAACAAAACATGGGCACTGAAAAAGAGACTCAAACTGCCTTCAATTATTCCTCACAGATTCCCACTGCAAGGCTGCTCCAACTTGTCCTCTGTTTTTCCCAGTGCTGAGTTTTTCTCCTGACATGGTGGTCTGTGCATACTGAAACACAGCATTAACCTTTGTGTTGTTTTACATCCATGGAAAATATGAAGTGTGGGTTTAAGAACATTAATTCCTTACTAACATTTCATTTACTCCTCCTTGGGGCAGTCTGGCTGGTACAAATTGCTGCTTGGTATTTGTGCGCTTCTCGAAGATCAATTTTTGTGTGTGCATTGGATAGGAAAACAAACCACCTGCCCTTGTTCCGTCTTGCTATGAACTTATCACTGCCTCTTCTGGCTAAACTCTGAAATGCCTGCAATTCCAAGCCAGCTGGAAGCCTAAAAATGACAGTATGTCATTCGACAGATAGAAATTCATCCAATAGTACAAAACTTTAATATCAATAAAATGTAGAACACTTGCTTGCCATCAAGTTGATACTGCTTTTCCTAATAAGAGTGGTGACCGTAACTCCAGAAATGTAGTTTAGATATGATCAGGAATCCCAGAGAAGAAACACAGGCACTAAGGCAAGGCAACATACGGCTTGTCAGCCTAATTTCAAAAGCATATGGCGAGCTGTTGACAAGATCAACCTGTTCCCTGCCGACAGGCGAAGGAAGCAGAAGTGCTGTGTTTGTAGCTGGTCATCTTGCTGGCAGACAACCCCTGAGAGAAACGTTTCCTGACCCTCACATAATCCGAAGGAAGCAGATCTTCTCTTCGGGAAGGTGTGTCACTGATGTAAGTGACTTCTGACTGCACTCTTATGATGAGTGAAACACATAGCAATAAAAGGACATGTTGCATTGTACAGGAGTATAACATTTGAACTGGCCCCCAGTCATGAAAGATGGGGGAAGTAAGCATTGGAAGACCGTTAACAGTAAGGCACAGCATGGTCAAACGTAATGATTGTGGCCCCCAAACCGCTTTGCGTAGCCAGCCCAGTACCAAACTGAACAGCAGGGAGGACCTGAGTATGGTGGCATCTGGACTTTTCCGCTCGTAAGCACCAAGAAGATGGTCTTATCAAAAAACAGCACTGCCCTTCTCTTTAGACCAGTATACACATGGTCTTCCTCTATTACCTAGTAAGAAAAGGATCTCCTTTTCCCCTGGCTTGAAAGCTGTCACCTATGGAAACACAAACACTGTTTGGCTGCATCCAGTACTGCAGGTTGAGAGCGTGTTTGCTTTTTACATTCCTATCTGATGTGCTCCTTCCTTAGTCTCAAAAAAAATGGCAGTGTAGGAAAACGCCGCAGCTGCTTAAGATACCTCCCAGCGTCCCTCATTAAGCTGCATCTTATTTCTTCTTGCGTTTGGAGCTCAGCCAGTCCCCCCACGGATGCTTTTTCTTGCCCTTTGAGAGGTTCCTCAAGGAATGCAGCGCCTGGACTTGTTGCAGCCGCTTCGACAGTTCCTCCTCACAAGCCTTCTGCAGCGCCTCGGTCTTTGGCTTGTCCCAGTTCAGGAGCAGAGCAAGGGCTTCTGGGTCTTCTTTATAAACCAGCTGCAACAGAACAAGTCAAGAGCCTGCTGTTCTTTGGTGCTAAACGGTAGCCCTTTATATAGATTCAATCCTCCCCCAACTCTTAAGTAGTAGAAAAGCGATACCATCATGACAGATAGCGACCCACCCACCTGCCTTGGTGGCTGTCGCTTTATCTTCTAATAGGGACTTCCACTATTCAGATACAGTGTGTGAAGAACCACCTTTAATTTGTTCTACCACTGGCTTGTAGTACTAAGGACAAAAAGGTTGCATCTACCTTCTCCACACCATGTGTGTGTTTAAGGACATCTGTCATATATCTCTTTAGAGCGGAGGAGTAAAAACCAATGCACGTGAGGAGGTAGCACAATAAACAAAGAACTAATACTGCAGCAACAGCACCTGACTTAATCAGAGCTGAATAGCTAAGGACCTTTTACTGAATGGCTGTTCAGAAGGGCAATGGAATTAGGGTGAGGGTTGCGATAACCCAGTTCTGGTTCCAGTTTGCTTAAAATAGCTCAACTTGGGAAACCCAGAATTCTTCCTGCCTTAATTTTTGTGGGCTCTTTTTTTATCAACAGCATGCATCCTTTTGACAGGGCTACCCTAAGACATTTTACTTTCTAAAGCAGAGCACCACAGGATGCCTCCGCTTACAAAATCAAGATGCACAGTATCCAGATCCAGTCATGTCATTTTGACAGAGTCTCTGCCCATACCTGGCAGTGAAAAACAAATTAAGTGACTTGGTGGCTAGAATCATAGTAGTTACGCCCACCTAAGCCACTTGTAACAGCAAATGCCGAGGCTGATTTCTCAACTTGCAGCAGTTCAACCCAGATTTACGCTGGCATGAATTCCAGCTATTCTGACTTTTCAAGACAATAAGTGTTTACTATTCATAATGGCCACTTCATCTAACAATAGGACTGGCCCTACCTTAGGCAGTCGAGTGGCCACAGATGTGATGATGAGAAGGATCTCTGTTTGTACCTACCTCCAAGTCTTGACTAGCCAGGCTGAGTTCTGGGGCCGGCTTTTCTTTAAGCGCTGTCAAGATCTGGCTGCCGAGCCTCACTGTGCTTGCAGGATTCCCACTTCTGTTTCCAGCATCAACTGTGTCACTTCCTTCCATGGTCATCTCTGCTGCTTCTGGTTTTAGACACAGAGCAAAAGACAGGTGTAATATTTCTTAAGAGTTCCCTCAGTTTTTCACATGGATTAAAATTCATTACTCAACTTGGTTTCTTTTTTTAAAAATTTTTTTTGAATCCTGCTGTACCTATTAAGTCTTACTGGAAAGTTTTACAGCTCTTCCCATCATCAGTTTCTGCTGTTTTTCTGACAATAAATTGTGCACAAAGTGGTTTAGGAAAAAAAATGATGAGCTACCATACAGTCCTCAACATGTCTGCTCAGAAACAAGTCTAATCAAATTTAGTGGAATTTCACTCCTAGGTAAGGAGGAACAGGATAACAGGCGCGGTAACGGCTTAGGAAGTCCGATTTCAATGGGCATTGACGATAATTGACGTAGTCTGAATCTAAGGAAACGAACAAACAACAATAATCTAGAATTGTGGAGCCGGAAGGGACCCTATGGATCGAGTAAAGCCTCTGTTGAAGAGCCACAGAGGGGAATCGAACTCCCCACCTCTGGCTCCGCAGCCATAGACCTAAGACATTGAGCTATCCAGCAGCTGCAGAACCAACACAGCATGGTCCCTGTTGGAGCAGGTCTAGTCCCACTGAGACAGGCGGAGGATGGCCCTGGCCAGTCACTTGCTCCTAGCCAGAACTCTAGTTCCTGGGGTTGCGGCGAAGTAAAACGCAGGAAGAAAGAAAGTTGTAATGTTTGAGGCACACACGGGCGTGGTTCAGACACACTGCTAAGAGATATTTTAGTTTTTATATAATGTGCACGAGACTGGGCACTTTGCACAATTACACCTCCCTCTCCACAATTACTGCAAGATGATCTAGAAATTTTTGGGAGGTGCTACTTGAACTTTTGAACTAAAGAAAGTTTCTATTTATGTCTGGACTTGGGAATCCCGTTATCTTAAACTATGGGTTACTAAACACCTAGAATCGTAAACCCCATTTTGATCCTGGCCTGATTCAAACTAAAGAGTGCTTTCCTTCAGCCCTTTGTCTTGAGAAACTTCGGGACTCGGTCGTTAACCCGATTACCTTCCGCCTTCGGCACAATGCAATCCTCATTTTTTGCCGCCTGCAGGTAGAGTTCCAGGAGCTGACGAGACTGCCGTTCCTCCTCTCGACGGTCTAACACCTGCTGAAGGGTGTCTTGCAGAGCTTGGACCTTGGGTTGGTTCTCCGAAAGTTCTCGCGCCAAGTCTGAGCAGGGTACGTCTATGAGTGCCTGGAATAAAGCAGGACGCGATCTGTCTCAACCCAGGTGAGGGACCTTCCAGCCCCTTCCCAGTTTCTGTAAGGTCACGGGGAACATGGCGCTGTGCTAAATATGGGTCAGCAACCTTTTCTTCATTTCACCTTTGTTATGGTCACGGGGTGTTTGTGATGGATGGCTTATGGCTTAAAAACGGATCACCTGCATTGCATGCAGAAAGACAGTCCCTTAATTAAGCCAATTAAGCAGAGTGAGGCAACCAGGTGGTACAGGACAGATGTGGCAGCCTTCCAGCCGTTCCTCCTGTACTCTGGCTTCTGTTGGAGGACAACGTTGTATACGCTGTACATCTGTGCCAGGCCTGTTAAACTAGCCTTCTGTTTTATGTGTGTTAGATGACATCATCTCACATTGTCAGCATTCACGTGCTAAGTCCAGCCAGTTTCTGGAATGAGGGAAGGACAGTGTTTTTTGTCCTTCATTTTGGGCAAGGAAATGTCCCACGAGTGGATCTTGGGAGAAAGAGGGCAGCTTGTGAACCTTCTGTACCTGGAGATCTTCCTCAGACATCAAGACGATGGTGGAGAGGTCGGCCTTCAGTTGCCGGGCGAGGCGTTCCCATCTCTCGCCACCGCCCTCCACTCCATCCACGACAGTGACCTCTCCCTCTAGCCAAGCTGTGCCTCCGTCTGAAAGAGCCACAAGTGGTCTGTGCCAGAGGGCCAAAGCTCTTAAAAATCAACCACCCTCACCGCTAACACCACATCTGGTTGATGGCTTTTTCTCTAAAACGAGCTAGTCTTTATACTTTACATGTAAACCTTAACTAGCCCAGATATCTCACATATAAAATGTACAAACATTAAGAACAATAATCATATCATATAAAACATTGCCTCTCTCTAAGAACAAAAGCTTAAAATGTTTTCCCATGATAAAGTCACAAAATTATAAACCCACTGGTATTTCCAGTGGCCAAAAAATTCTGGCCCAACTCCAGCTAACCAATTCAATCAATGCGATGTAAGCAAGCGAAAGTTTTGAGTCGATGGGATTTAAAGAGTGATTGAGTCCATGGGTCTTCTACTCAAGGTGGACGCAATAATGGGATTTACGCCTCTGCTGCTCTCTGCAAATTGTGGACGAACATCAGGCAAAGGGGTTACAAATAACAACAGTCAACGAGGCTGATGGCATCCCTTACCTGGGGCACTTTGGTCCTTCTTCGTGGCCTCTGTGACACAATTATACCAGACACTCACCTGTGCTGCTGGGAGACCACTCCTCGTCCTTTGCCAGCACTACAAACTTGGTGTTAGGTGGCAGGCATGAGAAGTAGCCTTCATCGTCCACAATGGTACCATCCTCGGCCAAGACCAGAGTTATAGGCTCCAGCTCCTTGTGGATCTCAAGGTGATCACAGGCTGTGAAAAAAAAAAGGGAAATCATCGACTGCGGAAGGCAGTTTTTCCAATAGCTGCTTGCTGCAGGGGAGGAATTCCTGAGTCCAAGGGAAACGTCTCAGCTAAATTCAAGCCTGTTCTGTTTTTTCTTCTGCTTTCGGGTGAGGTGTGTTGCAGATAGCTAATAGAGGTAATAAAAACTGTTGGGCGGAGTCCAGTCATTTTGGCCAGCTTTTTTGCCCTTCAGCAAAATGACTGTCCTGCAGTGCAAGAATTAGTGCTTACATACCATTTTTTTTTAAAAAAATACACCTCTTGGGGGCATACTGTATGTAATTTGCAGAACCTGTAAACAAATCTGTCAGGAAAGGAGCGGACTGACAAGAGCCTCCAGATATCCAAAATTCTGGGGGCCTATGAATTACCCATACAATTATGATTTTATATACAAAATCTCTCAAAATCAGAAGACACAAGTAATACAGGTTGAACCGGGGCTTTCTGCCTCACCAGTGAAGCTTCTAACGGACTAATTCAATTAGGCTTGAACAAGAGTTGTCAACACCTCTTAAGCAAAGTATATATAACTAGGTCATTTTCTTCTCTTTTCCCCTTTTGAAGGCCTGCTACCTGGCACTTTTTATCTTTCCAGTACTATCCTCCCTCTCTCTTTCTACCCATTCTTCATCTGTCTCCTTGGGTCCCCTTTCAAGGGGCTGCATTACACAACCCCAAAGGTACTTTCCATTTCTTAAAATGGATTTGTAAACATTTGTATCCTCCTTCACCCCAAAGGAGGCGTCTCAGTGACTTGCGTTGTCAGTAAAACAAAGCAAACACAATCGCTGCCCACAAGTTTAGAATCTAAGAGGACACAACCAGAAAGGCAATGGAGATGGGGAGAGGATGAGAAAAATGAGGAAACATAGTGACAGAGTCTTTATTGCCTTGATGTGATGTGGTTCCAGGCATGTGTAAGACCCTGTATCTCCCCAGGTACTTTCATAGTTTGGACTCCGTGTGACTAGTCCTCAAGATTCTGTGTTTTCCTTATGATGTTATAATGCACCTCTTTTACATTTCCATCTCTAGGTGACAAATCTAATCCCCCCCTCTTTAATCTTTGGGGGTCACCCTTCCATTCCTTCTTTAATTTACTTTCTATAATTATTTGTTCCTCTTTCTAAATTCCACCTTACAGAAAAATAATTCAAATGCAGCTGGATCCATAGGGGTGACCTTTCCTCTGATTCATTTCTCTGTCCCAGTTTCCTCTTCAGTTCTGCCCAAACTGACGGGGAATTGTCGATCTCTGCAAAAAGCAGCCCTCGGTCTACGGTTCTTAATCCACCTTTGTTTGACGCAAAACCTCCCAAAAAGAACATCCACATGGTGTAGACCCGTTAAAAACATTTTCAGAGCAGTAGCAGTAGTCCAGTGACAGCAGAAAGACTTAATACATTGTTTATCGCATACTCTTGTGGGCTGGAACGAAATATTTTCCTGCCCGTTTCACCATCACTTGAGCAAAAGGCAGATTTAGTCAATTTCATTCATCTGATTGAAGTGGACTCCAGTCCACAAAAATATATCCAACAATTAATTAGCCTTTCGGGTGGCACCAGGCTCCTTTATTTATTTACCTTTTAAAAAACAACCCACTGCTGTTTTTCTAGGTTCACCATTTCCCAAGATGCAAAACTAACTCCCTCCCGTGATCTCACGGTGGCTTCTTCCCTACTTCCTTGTCACAACAGGCTGGCGAGGCAGGCCAGGCTGAGAGAGAGAGAGAGAGACTCAAGGGACGAGCCCAGGGACGTCCAGTGAATTTCCTAACTTAATAGGATCTTTTGAACCCTCCTCTCTCGGGTTCCAGCCGAAGACACTTATCTGTAACCACTACCTCGCATCCTCTCCTCTGCCTTGAAGAGTCTCCCAGGACGAAATCCAACCGGTGCATGCTTTTAAGGCTTCGAAACCCTGAGCTAAGGGAGGCTTCACCGGTGGTACTTCTAACTGCGGCGCAGCCTGGGCAAACAAAGAGGATGCTGACGCTGGCCATCAGAATGTCTCACCCTTGTTCCGCAGCTCCTGCAGGCTGGAGGCCGCCACCCCGTGCTGCTCCTGACGCCCATTCCGCCTGATCAGGCATTGCTTCAACAGGAGAAGCTCGCCTCCGCTCGCCGCCATGGGGGTTTGCTCGCCTTCTGTTCGGGCTCAAGAAGCCTCGCAAGTCAAAGCGGCCGAGCCTTCTTTCCAGGCAGCCAATGAGAGCAGAGCTGCTCTGCTCTGGGCTCCTGGGAAATGTAGTCCCCTTTCCAGCGCCTTCCGGACTGGCTTCTGTCTCGCCGTCGGCCCTTTGCATGATGGGAAATGAAGTATTTACCCTACTCGGCTAAATTCCAGCATGAATTTATTAGTACTTGTATGTGTTTCTCCAAAAAGCCTTTTCCAATCTCACCTCCAGAACAAGTAAAGGGAGCTTGCAAGACCATGAGTTGAAAGACGTGGCAATGTTTAGATGGGAAGATAAATTGCTACTACAGGAAAACAAAAGGTCTGTAAAGGGAAGAGAGAATTAATCCCAAAAGGCTGTTTTTGTAAGCAGGTGCAAAGTGTGTTTGGTTCTCCTGGGTGACAACACAAAACTCAGCAGATACATTGTCCTTATTTATCTTTGTGTCTGTGTGTATGTTTGTATGGAGGCGGGGTGGGAGGAGAGAGAATGTACTTTTATGGGATTGCAGCTCCCAGAATGACAGGTTTGTACAGTAATCCAAATAAATTGATAAAAATCACATTTTGAAACTCTGAATATGATATTCTTCCATTATATATTGGAGGGATCACAGAAAAGCCTATGATTTGCACGAAAGCGGACACCAATATTTTAGTCATAAATAAATAAATAAAACACTGGTGTCCGCTTTCTTGCAAATCATAGGCTTTTCTGTGATAAATATTTATTTGTTTGTTTAAATAAATTTAACATGTTCACAGGGATTTTTTTTCACCTTTTAAAAAATCAAGTGTTTCATGTCATTTTTGAGAAAAATGCAACTTATTTTTCAATACACATGTATTTTACTCTAAAGGCTGTAATCCTACACATCCTTATTCACAAAATAAGTGCTATTGAATTGGTTGTGATTTTATTCTGAGTAGCCAAATGCTGTAATTCATTTGTAGTTTTCGAGGACATTTCATTCAACATTTCGTTCTGTTTCCATATGTCTGATGAAGTGGACATGTCTACACAAGCTCACATTAAAATAGAATAGTTACGTCTTTTAAGATGCCGTCTGTTTTTGCCTTGTTTTGATTTTGCTTCTTGGGCTTTTGCCCGAAATGCTGGAACTCAGCGTTCCAGTTTATAGCTGCACATTGTGCCACTTTCTTTTGAAGAGACAGGCGTTAGCTGGCATTTATTTCTTAAACGATTCCTCTCCAGGGTTGTAGTTTTAGAAGAGTTCACCCTGTTAGTCTGTGCAAGTATACCAGGCAAAATTTATTTATTTAAAAAAAATTTTTTACCCCGCCTTTCTCTTCGAAAAGGACTCAAGGTGGCTTACAACAATTAACAGACCCTATTTAAAGTTGCAAACAAGGAGTATGTAATGGCAGTTAACATCATTAAAAGAGGATCTTTAAAATTTATGGACAATGAATAAGAAGGAGTTTTACATCAATTAACAGGTAAAGATCAAGAGGCATACAAAAATTTAAAAAACCCAAAGAATAAACAAAGGAAAGCAAAATGGGGGAAAAAAGACAGGAACAGGTGGCAGCTTAAAAAAAACTAGCTCTTCTTTGGGAATGGGAGCTTTGGTGTTTGCAAACGGGTGCCGCTCATCCCCCGGTGAGAATGCAATAGGGGAGCTTTGGTCAGGCTGCCCGAAAAAAGAAAAGAAAAACACGTGTCTTTTTCCTCCCTGCACAGAACAGGGTTCCAGTTTTTGGCCAGGATGTGCTCGGCCGCTCGACTGCTTCGGCCTGACCGGCCTCCGGGAGGGAGACGGAGAGAAGCCGCCTTGCCTTTTCGGATCCGTGCCATCGGCGGGTGGATTCGTCGGGTCTGGAAACATGGCCTCCTCCTCGGAACAGGGAGAGCAACCTGGGCAGGTAAAGGAGGGCTGGAGGAGAGGGGCCGGGGGTTGGGGGGGAGCCCCTGACCCAGAGGAAGGGGGGGCGTTTCTGCTGCTGCTGCTTTTGCTCTGACTTCTTGGCCAGGAGAACTGGGTTTACCCCCCCATCATCCTCCACCCCCAGGGCTTGGTCAGGAACGAGAGGGCAGGGGTGGGCGGGTGCCCTTTGCCCCATAGATATGTGGGGAGGGGGGGAAAGAGAGAGAGAGAGAGACTCTTTGCAATCCCATGGTTCTGCAGGGGTGGGCGGGTGCCCTTTGCCCCATCGATATGTGGGGAGGGGGGGGAAGAGAGAGAGAAACTCTTTGCAACCCCAAGGTTCCCACCCAAGCTGTTTCAAAAAAGAAACCCCATCAGGATGATTTTGCCTTCCTTTGGGAAGGAAGAGGCAGGGTGCCCTTTGCTTCCTCGTGAGTGGGAGGTGGGGAGAGGAAGAGGTGGGGAGGGCGTTTGCCCCCCCCCCCAGAGCTCTTCCCTTGGCAGTGAAGGAGCACATGGGTGCCTACTTTGACTAATGGTACCAGGAGGCGATGATGGGCTCCACCCCCCTCCCCCAAAGCCAGGTGTTTTCTATGGCCTTGTGTTTAAAGGGGGGGGAGAAACAGGGGCAATGCCCCTAGAAGAATTTGCTACCCCCACTGGGGATGGAGAAGGCGGGTGCCCTTTGCCTCATAGAGGGGGAAGGAAGGGGTGGAAGGGAGAAGGGCCGGCTTTGCAAACTGCCTTTGAGCGTCTGTCTCGCCTGTTTCTAAAAGCCAGCCGGGCTTGAGCAGGAGGGGAAAAGCAGGTGACCCTCTTTCGTAGGAATGCATCTGTTTGGTCTGCCCTAGCTTTGCGGATGTGTCCTGTTTTTACCATGTGGTTGTGAAAGCACTCTCGTTGAATTGAAGCACAATTTTAAGAATTTTGTCAAATGGATTTAAAAAAAAATAAGCCATGGGGTAGGAGGAGAAGGCTATGGGTTGCCCCCTCTCAGTTTGCCTCAATTTCCACTTTTCTTAGTTAAAAAAAAATGAGGAAAGGCAGGCTTTCTGTCTCTTAGCGGTGAAAAGAAGATGGTATAAAGAAAGAATAATGTTATGGGAGCCCTCTCCCTCCCTCCCTGACAGTCAGAATATAATTTATTTATTTATTTTATTTATATCCCGCCTATCTGGTCGGTTAAGACCACTCTAGGCGGCTAATTAATTAAATCAATCAATTAATTAACAAATTAATTGATTTAATACCTTTTAATGACAGCCAAAATATTCAGCTGAAGCACCAGCCTCACTCTCCATAGTGTTAGGGCAGGCTGTGAAAGAAGCAGAACCCTTACTGAGTTTATATGACTTTCCTGGGGAGGAAAATGAGATGTGGGTCCCTCGCCTGCCACGGCTACCATCCATGGAAGGATGAGCTCAAGCTGCCTTTTCAACTGAGCCCAGTTGATCCTTGTGGAAGTCCTTCTCTGTAGCTTTCCTAAAGGTGCTCTCTAGTGAGAAAGGGGGAAAATAGGTCCCTATAATCTTCTCCAGAGCTTGGAGAAAAGTAGTAAGTTTCTGCATCAATCTCAAAGGCAGCCCCATGTAGAGCACATTACGGTTGTCTAATCTTGAGATTACGAGCGCATGGACCAAGGTGGTGAGGGCCCCCACATCAAGATAGGGGCGCGGCTGGGCAATCCACCAAAGGTGGAAACGAGATTACGAGCGCATGGACCAAGGTGGTGAGGGCCCCCACATCAAGATAGGGACGCGGCTGGGCAATCTGCCAAAGGTGGAAACGTGTGGAACGGACCACTGACGACACCTGGGTCTCCATGGTGAGCGCCGGATCCAGATGTACACCCAACTGCGAACCTCAGTCTTGGTGGTAAGAGTCACACAAACACACCCCATAGGAGAGGGAGTTTCCCAGACCACTGATGTCTGGGACACCCACCCGAAGGACCTCCGTCTTGCCCGGATTCAGCCTCAGTCCATTCACCTGCATCCATTGCTTGACAGCCCCCAGGCAGCGCTCAAGGGACGAGACAGCATCCACTGTTGTTGGAAAAAAGGAGATGTCGAGCTGAATATCATCAGCATAGTGATGACACGAAGCCCCACATCCCCTGATGATCCCTCCCAGCAGCCTCATACAGATGTTAAATAGCATTGGAGAGATAGTCGAACCCTGCGGAACCCCACAATTGAGGCTCCATGTGGCCTGGAAACTGTCTCCAATCTACTCTCTCTGGGGACGGTCCTCCAAGAAGGAGCTGAGCCAGGCAAGAGCCAGGCCACCGATTCCCAACTTGGAGAGCCTCCCCAGGAGGATACCGTGGTCGACGGTATCAAAGGCGGCTGAGATATCGAGGAGGAGCAGCAGAGACATTTTGCCCCTGTTGGCCTCCCTCAGCAGGTCATCAAACAGGACGACCAGTGCCGTTTCCGTGCCGTGGCGCGGCCTGAAGCCCGACTGGAACGGATCCAGGGCATTGGTTTCATCCAGAAGGGTCTGCAGCTTATTGGCCACCACCCTCTCGACTACCTTGCTGAGGACAGAAACATTGGTGATGGGCCTATAATTACCAATATCGTCCGCCGCCAAGCTGGGTTTCTTCCTAATGGGCCTAATGAGTGTCTCCTTGACAGGGGAACCTTGCCCTCCTGCATTAATTATTGCCATAGCCCATTCAGATGTTATGGACAGATAAACTAAAAATGAAAACATCTACCTAGATCCAGTTGGTAGCCTCAACTAGAGTAGAGAAGTCAATTGCTGGATGGTCTTAAATGCCATTGACTCAATGGGTCTACTCTAGCTGGAATTACTGGAGGTGAGAGAACAGTGGCAGGACCTGGACTGATTTAGCAATGTGAGTCTGGGAAAAAAAGTCATGGGGATGCCTGGGTGAATGTATTTCAAGTATTCCCGTCTCATTTCCTGATTCAGCTTGTAAGTAAAGTCAAAAGTGGTCTTCTGCTAACTTGGTCAGAAAAGACAGCTGGGCATTGTCTGTGTCTGGATCGAATACATGGGCCGACTTCCTTTCGTTTATGAAATCTGATGTTCAGCCCTTGGAGGCATCGCCTTGTGGTGGCCTCCTACCCGTGGTGGAAGGAGGTTTTTAAATAACAGAGGTGTCAAACGTTTGTTTTTACGCACCGTCATGATGTTTCATAACGAGTGGCTAAGGAGATGAGCTAATGAATGACGGACTCTGCCATGAACTCGTTAAGTAGGCTTGGCAAGCCTCTCTCAGCCTCAGCGGTATGAGGATAAAAAAGGGTGGACTGCCTTATGTGGTAGTTATAAGGGTAATGAGACTAAAACAGATGTGAAGGCCTTTGAAGTCTTTAAGCTGGCATGTCCTGACTTTATTGGTTTGCCTGTATCTGAAATTAAATCCAGTCTCAGGTGGAAAGAGTTTCTGTAATTTCCCCTTCTTCACCTTCTCCTGTTTTCCATCTTCAGGGCGTCTTTTGATGGGGAGGTAAAGGTTCCCCTTGACATTGAGTCCAGTCGTGTCCGACTCTAGGGCGCGGTGCTCATCCCTGTTTCCAAGGCGTAGAGCCAGCGTTTTGTCCGAAGACAGTTTCTGTGGTCACATGGCCAGCTTGACTAGACACGGAACGCCCTTTTGATGGGTGTTGCAGGGTGAACCTGAAGCTATGGAGGCCCAAGATATTTGGGAGCAGAAGTGAAGGGTTTTGGGGAAGACTTCCCATATTTAAGGGGAGGATATAGCACAGCCACCTTTGGGGAAGGAAATCCGGATCTCTTGACCCATATAAATAACAGCAACAACCCCCATGTGCCATTGTATCGTGAGCTGACCCATTCCAGGGTTTTCTAGGTATAGAGTCCTTAGAAGGGGTTTACCAGTCCCTTCTTCTGGTGGCGGGGTGGCACAGGACCCTGGGATCGTGCAGCTGGTCCAAGGCCATCCAGGCTGGCTCTTCTCCCTAGAGGCACCGTGGGGATTCGAACTCAGGACCTCGGGCTCTGCGGCCAGATACCCAAGTCATTGAGCTCCCTAGCCCTGTAAAGTATTTCCCATATAAAGTACACTTGCTATGGCCCAGCATTATCCTTTATTCTTCTAAGCCACCCTTTCTAACCATAAGGTCTAGAACCTTGGCTTTTAAAATACTCTAATTAAAAGCTGACAAGTCAGTCAAGTAGCTGAGGTGGCAGGAAGATTCCTCAATACGCGGCAAAGTTCTTTCCTCTTGATCCCTTAACCTTGTAGGGTTTTTTTAATTTAAAGAACCGTTTTTTACAGACTTCTGTAGACATCCGTCTCTCATTCTCTCTTAACCTTTCATCTTAACCTGAACTGATTGATGTGGTTCAATATTCTACATAATAGCTAAATGAAGTTATAATTGGGTGAATCATTCAGGCTGGGTCTCTAAGGAGCCTGGACGTTTTTTACTATCTGTACGTTTATGTAAAATTCAATAAAGCTTTTGAAAAAAGAAGAAAAATGTGGTTTCTGAGAAAGATAAAGAGGGAGGCGGTGGAAATGTTAGAGCTGCTTACATAAAAAGCCTAAGCGCACAGTCCTTCTGCGAGTGTTCGCAAAGAAAGCATGAAAAGATATGTATGAAAACAGTCACAAATAACAAATCCTCCCTCTGTTATTTTCTCATTCATTCATTCATTCATGAGCACATGTTAACCCTACATTTCTACCCAGACTACTTGCTGGAGTAGTTTATGATTATCAGACATGAGACAGGACCTTCCTGCAGGCTTATAAATCTGAAACACATATCGCAGAAGGAAAAAAAAAATATTTCATTTCAGATATTTTTACCCCGCCTTTCTCCTTAAAAGGACCCCAGGCAGCTTACATTATTAAAAGACAATATTAAAGCTCACAGCCTTGAGTCTACAAGTACTAAAAAAGGATCAAACGAATGCCATACAAAGAAACATCTATTAAAAGACAATATTAAAGCTCACAGCCGTGAGTCTACAAGTACTAAAAAGGATCAAACGAATGGCATACAAAGAAACATCCCATACCAAAAAAAAGGGGGGGGGAATCAGAGAGGAAAAAGGATGGGGAAAACATTAATGGTGGCACTAAATTTTACCCAAAAAGGGGGGGGGGGAAATCAGAGAGGAAAAAGGATGTGGAAAACATTAATGGTGGCACTCAATTCTTGCTTATGGAATTCAGCAGGTATTTTTACCTACTTGGTGTCCTCCTTAGAGATTTTCCCCGCACGTGTACGTACATCATGGAGGCAGATTTCCGATGACTTAGAGCCAAGGCATTCCATGGAAGACCCACATGGGACCCAGCGACAAGAGTCTTGGACCACAGGAGGGGATCCTGTTCAGGAATCTGGCTCCATTTTCTTTTCCCTTTCAGTTTTCTGTTCCCGTTCCAATTTCATTCCTCCTCAGCAATCTTAGTCCTCGTGGTTGTGTATCTATATTTGCATCTGTTCTCTTTGGGGCTGGTTTTTTTTCCAGATGTCTTTCCCCTCCCGCCCCAATCTCTTATGGCTTGGGGGGAACAACATGGCTGGCTTCTCTGTTCCTACTTCCTCTTAGCAAGAAATAGTTGCATTTTGGACAGATGAGTTATCCGAGGATGATTTTGCTGCAATCTTACAATTTGGAGAAAGAATAGTAAGCAGGCTGTGGCCATCTCTGATCACTGATAAGAGATCACAGGGGTACCTCTTCTCCTGCAATCTCAGTAGATCTTGGGGGTGGGGGAAGTGAATTCACCAAAATTGCAGGCTGGAGTCTCACCTTTTGCAGGCTGGTTAGTCCTAGCAGGATGGGGTATTTTTCCTCTGTGTGCTGGTTGTTTACAAACCTTGCCGGATCCTGTAAAGGGAATGAAGCTGGACCTTACGACTAGCACAGGGGGCTGAATACAGAGATGGAGCTAATGACAGGCCGAAGAGTCTTTATGAATTGGGCTGCAGTAGCAAAAAAAGCAGACCAGAGGGTCAAGAGAGAAGGTAAAACAACTTGTGGGTCACCCAGGAAATGATTTGACTCTAACCTGGAAGCCTTTAAGGAAAGCTGCTTAATTCATGAGTATATCTGAGGTCCTGGAAGGGATTTGCTGGTGTCTGAATCTGAATGCTTTCTTTCCCACCTGTATACAGGATTTGTTGACCACAATAGCTGCTGCTTAAGTATTTTTAGTACTGTATTGCGCTCTGCTCTCCGTACAACCCCCCCCCCCCCGTTAGAAACCCTTTCTGTGTTTGTACGTGAAATCTCTCTGACTGCAAGGCTTAAGAGCAAACCAACAAAAATCCAATTTGCCAGGCCAGTTTGAAGGAGAGCGTTCAGCTCGATGTTTGTTTATTGGCCGTCTTCTGTTCAATTTAGTGTTCTGCTTCCTTTCTTCTGTTCAGTTGTGATGCCGCCTGACATGGAAACTAGAAAATATTGGAAAAGGGGGTGTGGTGGAAAAGAGAGGGAATTTAGACAATACCATCTCCATTGATGCAATTTTGCTCCATCTTCTTTTTAATGATAAGGGAAGAGAAGCAATTCACTATTTTTTTTTTTTATAAAACAGAAATGGGCTTTAGTTCCAAGTTTTGGGGGCATGGTGAGATGCCCCTCTTATTGGAAGCCAAATAACCACGAATCTCAAGTTATCTGTTGTTGTTTCTGACAATAAAATGGATCGGAAAAGTGAATGCTGCTTTGAGCTTCAACATTTTTTTTAAAAAAAACTGATTTGGGTGCTAATTTCTAACTACATCTTCCAGCAGTCACAACAGTTTATCAGATGTGGGTACAGTGGAGGGCTAACCTTATAGCACTTCTGTGTGATTCAGCATCGCAAATATGATTGATTGCACAGGGATTCAAAGTCAAGTTTTGAAGAGCCAAAAATTTACACTTCTCCGCTAGAAAGAGGGCGTTTGTCAGTTCCACCATTCCTGATCTATTAGTTTTATTTATTTATTTTATTTATTTATTTAATTTATATCCCGCCTATCTAGTCGTGGTGGACTACTCTGTTCTCTGAATGCCAAATTCTTTCTGTTGAATTTAGTAAAGCCAAGTGTGAGTTTTGGAAAGCTTTTCTAAAACAAGCGAGCCAATAAAAAACGAGTCAAAGGAAATTCTCATCCACTCCTGGAGGCACCTGAGCTGTCATTTACTTCTGGTGCTTATTGTTTTATTTCAGGTCTGTTTGGCATGCTATTTTTGCACTAACTAAATGCATGCTGATTTATAATCTGCCACTGTTTAATCATCACAGCCTCTTCGTGGTGGCATAAATTATACAAGTGTTAAAAAAAAAGGAGTTATTTCTGGAATTGTGGCTTTTCACGACATTTACAGGAGATGAGACTGGTGGTCATTTTTGAAGCTGGATTGTGCATTTTGTTTTTGACCACTTCCTTTTTTTTTTTAAACAGATTTTTAAGTTTCAATAAGTCCACTTAAAAAAAATCCAAAACCAAAATCTACAAGCCAGGTCAAATAATTTTCATCTCCACCAAGAGTGACGCTTTTGTAAACTGAATGTTTCCCAATTGCCCATTCAAGACTACGCTTACCCCCCAAAAATAGTTTTCATTACCACTGGGAGAGCTCCTTACAGTTCGTTGCTGCTGGGAGAGAAATCTACACCTGGCACTCCCGGTGATCGTGCTGTGAGAATTGCAGCTGGGCCGAAGTGGCCCCTGTGTCGTCAATTATCCTTGCTAATCAAAAAATCCCCGCACTTTGACCCTGCAAGCCGCAACTGCACTCCATCACTGCTCTATCTGATCCCTTTAATAGGATTTGTGGGGGATTAAAACTGCGATAAGCAAGTTGCCTTTACCCCTGAGTAATGATGCTCTGGTCCTGTGTGTGTGTGTGTCCACCATCTAACCTTGCTTTTTTTCTGTTCACAGACTGACTCTCCCGGAAATGAGAATGGAGCCTCTCGGGAAGCTTTGGTGAGTTTCATGGCAAGGGGCCAGAAAACCTCCCTCCCTTTCCGCCTACTTTGAGCCCTTGAGAGTTTCCTTCTTTTGTCCTACCTTGTTCTCATTGAGCAGCATCACATCTTTTGGGAAGCAAACGGCTTAGGTGCTCAGGCCGAGTGCCGTGTGGGTGACCTCTGACCTTTGACCTTCAGCCATTCCCGTCTCCCCTCCACCTTTCCGTGGATGAATGGATGGACACCTTATTCCTCCATCCAATAAAAGGACTGGTCTGCTCCCCTCGAGAGAGGCTTTGCTACTCATGTGTTTGCCTATTAGCAGGGTTATAAACTCTTTGATTAAAAAAATCTAGTATTGAAGGGCAAGAGGTGCTTAACCAGAATCTATGCAGGTTACCCCTTATGCTTCTCCTTCTTCTTTTGTTGTTGTTGTTCTTCCCTTTTTTGAAATAACTTACACACACATTTGCGGGGGGGGGATTATAAAATTGACATAAAAATTAAAATGACTCACTTGTGTCCCAAACCAAAAAATAGAAATACATGTTATATTTATTAGGTAAGCCCTGAGAAATGCTGTTTCTGTGACCTTAGCAAGACCATCACACCCCACATTGTGTCCTTGGGATTTGCCTGCTTCGAAACTTTGCATTTTGAAAGGGAAATTGGAGTGGACTCCCAATTGCTCTAGATTACGGACTCCTTCCCTTCCCGCTACCTTAAACCAGCAGCTGCTGCTCCTGAAAGTGTCCGAGTTTGGGAATCCCAATTGTCTCCATTCTGGGGTGGGAATTTGGGAGAGTCACCAAAAAAATGCCGCAGGACTGGCTGCAATCGTCTTTTGCCCGCCTCTACTCATTTTACCCCATCTGATGCTCTCCAGAGGTGCTGGACTAAAGCGACCATCATCTCAAATCATCATAGTTTGCCATCAACTGATAGGGAGGGTCCTGTATTGACGGAGAACGCCCCAAGGCTATTATTTTTTTTTTGTGTGTGTGTGTGTGTGTGTGTGAGAGAGAGAGAGAGAAAGAGAGAGAGAGAGTTTGGAGTGGCTTTCTTCATATTCACAAATAAGCCTCCTCTCAGGGGCTGCCTTACTTTCACTGTATCTTGTGTATTTAGCCCATGCTCTCAGCGCTGATCTTCTGTATGTATTTTTTTAAAATAAATTAAGCCCTTTCTTGCTGATGCCAATACCTGCACTTTTGTGATGGAAGTTTCTTTCCCCCCCCCCCGCGTCCTCCAGGGATCAAGGCACTGGCTTGCTCCCCCCCTCCCCATTCCAGCT